TTATTCCATTGTCATCATGGAAGGAAACATGGTTGCATGCAGGCAGACATGGTAGCTGAGAATTCTATATCCAGATCAGCAGGCAGCAGGAAAAGAAAAACAGCACCAGGCCTGGCGTATGCATTTGAAGCCCCAAAGCCAGCCCCCAGCAACATGCTTCCCTCAACAAGGTCATGCATCATAGTGAATAGTGCCACTCCCTGTGTGTCTGTGGGGCTATTTTTATTCAAATCACCACACACACACCATATGCACACACACATACATATACTACATATACATACACATAAAGTTTAAGAAACCATTTATTTCATTTTCTGTTTTAACAACTGTTAAGCTTTAACTTAGCCAAAAGCTGCTAAGTATTTTTGTTCCAGGTTCTTTGTCTCACCCACAGCAGAACTTAAAGTTGGATGAACAGAGACACTAGGGAAGGACAGCAAAGCCTGAGAGAATGGCAATAGAACATCGGGAGACCATAACCCTGCCATTTTCTCCCCATCTGTGTGACCATTTTTCCATGCCTGGGTTTCCTCACCTGTCACATGTAGAGAGTATGTTTCATAGCTGACAAGGACGGAAGACATGTTCAAAGTTGGTGAGTTGGACAAGGGCTGCCAGGGCAAGGATAACTAAATGCATGAAATGCAGCAGAGTGCCCTAAAAAAATCACACTCACATGCATGCACCACACACACACACACACACACACACACACACAGAGAGAGAGAGAGAGAGAGAGAGAGAGAGAGAGAGAGAGAGAGAGAGAGAGAGAGAGATGCCTGATGGATGCTTAAAAATACAGACAAGGACATAAGTCATTTCTCCATTGATGATGTACAAAGAAGAAATAAGAAAACAGGACACCCCTCCATCCCATGCCGGGCCATCTATTCCCAGGTTTGCTGCAGGGAGAGCCAAAAGGAAGCAAAGGCAAACACAATCCATGTATTTGGGCATTGTGCCCATGAGCCCTGTTGGCAGCCAGAGCACCACATGATTTCACTCAGTTACAAAAGAAATAAACATAAATGGTTCTGTCCTTCAATTGCCCCCCATAGCCTGACATCTGCACACGTGCAAGAACATGTTCTTGTCTTTAGAGAGATGCCTTTTAGGGGTATGAGAAGCCACATGGGGAAAAGAGCAATCTTCAGCTCTAATTTGAGAACATAAAGATGTACCATACTAATCTGTCTTTTTATGGAATTATGTCAACACACCAGGGAAACAAGGAAGGTTCTGTTAGCAACATTGCTAGTCTAGTCGGAATGTGTACAGAGGAAAACACTATTGCTTGCCTTCTGGCTGTGATGTCTTATTATTGGGGTCTTTGTGATGGCTCCTGTGGAACCCAAGGCAGGCTCTGTTTGGAGTAGGGGGCTAGACAATGTTCTGAGGCTGAAAGACTAAAGTTCCAGGGTCACCAGCTTCCCTCTGTGAGTTGCTCCTAACTCTCTTGAGAACTGAAAGCCCATCTGAAAGAGGATTCTAGCAGTCTGGAGTCACTGTTGACAATGCCCTCTTCCTCTGCTGCATCTTTATCCTGAGATAGGGTCTCTGTAGCCCAGGCTAGCCTCCTGTCTCAGCCTTCTTAGAGCTGGTACTGTAGGCCCATGCTATCACACCTACTGTTTCGTGATTTTCAACAGCAGGGTCATATAAATGAGTGGTGAGCTAGGGAGAAGTCAGTGCTACCCAGAGTGAAACCTGCTCGGCACCAGGGCTGGAGAAAGCCATGCACTATTAGTTCCAAATAATTAGAGTGTCAAGACCTCCCAGACAAGAACTAGAAACATAACAAGAACAAAGAACACCTCCCAAACATGACTACAGCAGTCTTGTCTTTTTTGTTTGTTTGTTTTGTTTTTGCTTTTCAAGCGAGGGTTTCTCTGTAGCTTTGGAGGCTGTCCTGGAACTCATTCTGCAGACCAGGCTGGCCTCGAACTCACAGAGATCCACCTGCCTCTGCCTCCCCAGTACTGGCATTAAAGGTGTGCACCACCACTGCCAGGCTAGCAGTCATGTCTTAGTCAATGTTCACTGATGAGCACTAATGGAATGAGTATCCAGTTCCCATTCCCAGGCCCAGGCCTCTGACAAGATGGTACAGATGAGATTCAGAATAAGAGGTAGGAGGAAGGCCCAAGGCTGTGGGATTTTCAGCTTCCGTTCTCACCAAGCACAGGAAAGACAGGGTGGCTTCTGCCTAAGGCATTTGTGAAGCCAAAGCAACAATGTCATGGTAACAACAGCTTTGTAACTTTAGGGCACTTTTTACTGGAGGGAAGAACAGAATGTAACAGGTGATGATCTAAAAGGTTCCTCTGCAAGGAAGCTGTTATATGACAGGACCTCATGGAGCACCAGAGGCTATAAGTCAACCCTAGATGAAGCACGTTATGCTACAGAACCTCTACCTACAAACAGGTGGGCTAGGGCTCACCTGGTACCAGAGTGACACGCCTGCTGACTCTCTACAGCCTACGGGAGTTGCCTTGAATGGGAATGGGCCAGCTCCCTTTCTCCTTCACAGGTTCTGTGCTAGAAACCTAGAGGCAAAAAGTGGGCAAATGATTGGCTCACCAATGGAGAAACATAGCCACAACCTTGTATAAAAAACTCCTTTTTTATTTAGACAAAAAGGGGGGAAATGGAACATACATCACCGTGCTTGGTTTAATAAAGAAGCTGACTGGCCTACAGCTAGGCAGGATAGAGGACCAGACTAAGTGAATGCTGGGAAGAAGGGCAGAGTCTCCGGGTTGTGAAGAGGCACGGAGAGGAGGAAGATAAACATGCTGTGCTAAAGAAGGTACTGACATGTGGCAGAGGGTAGATAAGAAATATGGGTTAATTTAAGTTGTAAGAGCTAGTTAGTAACAAGTCTAAGCTACCGGCTGAGCATTTATAATTAGTAATAAGTGTCTATGTAGTTATTTGGGAACTGGATGACAGGACAAAAAAGTCTGCCTAACCTGAGAAAGCTTAAAAAAATGTTCTAAACATACAAAAACAGAGCCAAACTTGGCTTCCTAGTCTCATGACTCTTATGTTGGCTGAGGTGAGATGCATCTCCTAGCCGCTGCCTGTGGGCTTGAGTGGCCAGCATGAATGCCCCCAGAGTGAGTCCTGCCAGCACACTCTGAGCTAAGCTGCATGGTGGGTTTAAGGTTTTGCTCTTGCAGGCAGGAAAGAATACAGATACCAAGTAAAGACAGATCTAGATGAAAAAAAAAAATCTCTAAACAAGTTACAGGGTGTTTAAAATGTACATAGGTTTGGGAGAGAAAAAAGAAATGGTATAGACAGTCATAGATTTTAAAAAATAGTTTAGAAATAGTAAGTCCTTAAAAATAAAAATAAAGTAATAAAAATATAATAAGCCACATAAAAATAGGAAACACACATAGAATTTGGTTTCTGTATGCTATTATGTTGTCTTTAGATTTTCTGATTGCTAATGTAGGAATGACAGCTGCTAAAATACATTGGATTATGAAAACTACTAAATTAAACCAATCTATACATTTCAAAAATGTCTTGACTTCAAATGGAAGTCAAAAGATGTTACTTTGGGGAAGAGGCTATACTTTTATTTCCACAGGAAATGAGAGGCTGTGGATTTATTCTAGGATGATATGGATCAGGTTTGTTCAGGGAGACCCCTGAAAATCCAGGCTACAGATATAAAGAAATAAACCTAGAAGAACTACAAGACATGTGATGTATATTTACCTACCCATATATAAAACAAAGAATCATCTTTGGCTGACCTGTATACAATACACAGTCTATACTTGTATTAATGCAGATAAGTATGTTACCTTTAAAAGTTTATGAATTTTTAGAGCAAGAGACAGACATGAATAACAACAGATTGCCCAGGTGATCCAGCATCCAAGACAGCTTCAAGGCTGTTGCCTGAGATAATCCAGCCTCACATAATACTTCAGTCAAGACTTAACAATGACCCTGATTTTCTCAAGGTTCCCCCAAAGACACTAGCACCCAACAGACATCAGGGAGTAGTCTAGAGAATAACACCCACATTCCCAAGACATGTAGTAGTTAATGGGTTATAAGTGTTTGTTATTGTTTAGGGTGGTTGGTCATAGTTATAAAAAAGCTAAACAAGAGTTAAATTCAAAGATCTCTTTCTAAGGGAAAAAAAGGGGGAATAAGATATGGAAATGATGGGATCAAAGGGTAGATTATTAATCTACTTTAATCCAAAAAACAACTATTAAGGTCAAAATATTTTATATTGGTTCAGATCTTGGTTTATTGATAAAAATTTAAAGTTAATTTTGTTATACTGAATGTATGTCTCTACATTGGGGTATTATGCTTATACAATTCATTTTAAAATGTAATATATAATTAAAGATATAGGTTAGTGGTTAGTCATCTAATAATCAACTTATAGTCATGTTAGGTATACTTTCAAGGTCATACACAGATATATTTATATAGACAGATGGTCTTCAAACACTTCAAAGAAGTGGCATTTAATATGTTTAATAATATAAGGCTTTTTATGAAGAGACATGTTTGCTCCTGGCAGCACCAATCTACTTTAGAGAAGATGTTAGGCATCCAAAAAAAACCCATATGCAGTTTGCTTTCTCTTTAGCAAAAGCTAGCCATTTGAGCAAAGAAACTGCCCTTGCCTTAACTGCTGATAGTATGCTAACTGGACCAGCAGGATGCAAAGAAAGCAACTGTCAATCTTTGCCAAGACAAAGTAGGACAATCCTTCAAAACCCCATGCTTCTCAAAAATGTCTGTCAAATATACTAGGCCTATAGGCCAAAGTTGGATGTCCCAATGTTACAGAAGAACTCTGGGTGACTGTCCAGGTAGCCATATGTCCCTGTCATTAGGTAAACATTAAACCCTTCTGGGATCTTTGAGGGAATTAAAGACTAAATAATTAGACTTAAAGTTTTCCTTAGTTATGATAAAAAGTTAAATTAGGTATAAAACTTTAGACTCACATGCTCACTTCTGCAGCACATATATTAAAATTTGAATGATACAGAGAAGATTAGCATGGCCCCTGTGCAAGGATGACATGCAAATTTGTGAAGTGTTCTATATTTTGCAGCAGCTATACTTTACCAAAAAATCCAACTATGCAACTCTTAGTCTCATTGTTTTGCAGTGACTCCTCCCTCACAGCCTCCTGCATCTCCAAGGCAACACAACTATGTCATTATTAAATGCCCTTATTTATCTGTGTATTTGGACATAAGTGCTTGTTTTCATCAATTATCAAACAAAACAAAAAAACTTTAGCTTACATAGATGAAGTAGGTAATGGGATATTTTCTCTTATTTTGCCAAATACAAGTGAACTGAATATTGTAACTGTAATTCTTATTTGATAACTGCTTTTGTTGTATATAATTTTATTATGTTAAAGTTGAACTCTTCCTTTTTAATTGTACAAAAAAGGGGAAATGCTGTGGAATAGCCCTTCTGTACACTGTGAAGACATGTTTGTTCTCATTGTTAATAAAAAGCTGACTGGCTGGTGGTGAGGCAGGGTTTTCGGGACAGAGAGAATGTGGGGGAGGAGGGTAGACTGAGAGGAGATGCCCTACAACGCATGGGAACAGGATGGGAAGTGCATACATGAGGTAAACGAGCCTCAGAGCAGCACATAGATGAATAGAAATGGGTTGATTTAAGTTATAAGAGCTAGCTAAAAATGAGCCTTGGCTGAAAATTTATATTTAATGATAAGTCTTGTGTGGTTATTTGGGAGCAGCTGCCAGGACACAGAGAAACACTGCCTACACTACCTGGAAAGCAGTGCCTGCCTCTGGGCCTCCTTTCTCCTTCAGCAGCCCACCAGCCTGCTCCCTGCTATCAGCTGTCTAGGCTCCCCCAGAAATGAGAACTATCCTAGGTGTAGGCAGGAGGAGCTGCATGTCCAGCCACTGTCAGTCTCAGAATAAGTCAATCTATTCAGCTCCTTAGGAACCTAAGAAATGATTCAAAGCCTCAGTTGCTGTTCTGTGAGGGGCATGATTGAAATGGGTAGAAACTTCAGGTGGGGCCTAGAAGGGAATTATGTCACTGGGGCACATGAAGGGCATGCTGGGCCTGCTGACCTTTTCCCTCTGCATCCTGGCCATCATGAGACAAGCAGCTCTGACCACACATACTTGCTACCATGACAGTCTGTGTCACTACAGGCCCAGAGCAACAGGACCAACAGACCTCACAGTGAATTCTGTGAAACTGCAGCCAGCACCAAACCCTTCCTTCCTCCTTTGAAACTGCTTAGCTTAGCACGGACCTTTTGTTACTGCAATGGAAAGCTATTGCAAGCAGAAACAGAATTTACTGGCTCCAAGATACAAACAAAGCTTCCTAAATAATTTTTTAAAGTGCAAAGAATAGCACCACAATAGCTACCCAAGCACAGCATATACGTTTGACAAGCTGAGGTGAGGATGTTTCCACAAGTGAGTTTGTAAGAGGCGTGAAGAGGTTGGGACCATTTGGTCACACTCACTGTACTGCCAAGAAGCTATTACTGAAAGACCCAACTTCTGTCAATCTCAGCTGACATGCTTCCCACTGAAGTCTCGTGGGTCAAGAAGGTGGAGAAAGTTAGCAGGCAAAGAATGGACTGCATTTTGGGACAGGAACAATCAATAGCTCCTGTCAATTTGTCTGAAGGACAAAGAAGTAGTATTTATAACTTCCTTCATTAAGCACCTAGTGGAGTTTAAACTACATTAAGAACCCATTTTTCCTATTTGCTCTTATGTACCCAGCACTGGTTAGAAACAACTGACTCTCAGCAAAGGGACCGATAATGCCAAGGTAAAAGGGAGCCGGCAGATAATGTAATGAGTCCCTTCTCTCCCAAAATTCCTCAAATAAAACACCTTTTCTGCTACCCTTAGAAGCAAATCAACAAATATAATACATAATTATATTAATGGTTAATTCACTCAGGTATGGTAGACAACAGTAAAGCAAAATTATTCTGTATCTGGATCAGGTTAAACACAGGAGCCCCTTCCTGAATACTCATGGAGTGTGTGTGTGTGGGGGGGATGAGGTGTGGACTCATTTATTCTTAAATTGTTACTTACTATGGGGATGTGTACACATGCCATGATACACACATGGGGATCAGAGAGAAAACTCTGTAGTGTCAGATTCTTTTCTTCTACTTCTTGTTGTTATTGTTGGTTTGCTTTCCAAGACAGGGTTTCTTTGTAGCTTTGGAATCTGTCCTGGAACTGACTCTGTAGACCAGGCTGGCCTGGAACTCAAGAGATCCGCCTGCCTCTGCCTCCCAAGTGCTAGGACTAAAGGTGGACACCAGCACCACCAGGCTCTTCTTCTACCTTGTATGGGGACTCCAGGGATCAAAATCAGGTCATGCTTTCATGGTAAGTGCATTTTTCTGCCGAGCTATATTGCCAGCCAAAAGTTGTATTTGGGAATAAAATTCTTGCTCAGTTGCTTTTTTCGGGCCTGATTTGCCTTCAGTAATTTCTATAGGACCTGGGTACTTGCACCTCAGCTCATGGCTCCACATCTGATTCTTGCTGATAACTCCCAGAGCTTTTCCTTCAGGGCCACTGAGGACTTCACTTGGGTGGCAACCTGATGTAGCAGGTCAGCTCCCAAGGGTTCTCAAGACTAAGTCGCAAGAAGTTCTCATGAGCAAGTACCCTGCACCCCCCTCCACTTGGCAACAAGGGCCAATGGTTCACCTCCTGCCTGTCCTGTCCTGTCCTGTCCTACCAAAAGCAGATGCTGGGAGAGCCTGCTCCCGTTCTCTTCTCTAGCCCACCCTCCACAGGCAAAGCCCGTCTTCACTTGTGGCCCTTTCAAAACGGAGCCAGAGACCACAATCTCCCTGATTCTCTGCTGGAACTGAACCCCATTCAGCCCAGAGGCCCTGCCTTTTGAAGGCCCACCATTCACCTGGCTTTCAGGTTCTGGTCTCTGTCAGTTCTGCCTTCCCAACACCAGGGCAAGGTCTCTGATGGGGTTTGTGAATGTGAATGAGTTGCTGAGTCCACTCACCCTTCAAGCTCAGGGAAGGCAAGTTCTAGCACACAAATGAGGAAGAACTGAGGGTGAACAGGCTGCTCCAGATTCCCTAAACCATACTTGCCCTATTCCACACTGACATTCATCCTGATCCCACTAAGAATGGTTGCTTAAGGGGTTGGGGATTTAGCTCAGTGATAGAGAACTTGACTAGCAAAACATGGCCCTGGGTTCAGTCCTCGATATGGGGAGGGGATGGGAGAAAGGAAAAAGAAACAAAACAACAATAAAAGATTGGCTGGAGAGATGGCTCAGTGGTTAAGAGCACTGACTGCTCTTCCAGAAGATCTGGGTTCAGTTCCCAGCACCCACATGGCAGCTCACATCTGTCTGTAGTTCCAGGGGACCCGACACCCATGGCAAAACACCAATGCACATAAAATATATTTTTAAAAAAATTCATTAAAAAATGGTTGCTTAATAAACAAGATTTCTTTTTTATAACTAACCAAGATAAAGACCAGGCTAGATGAAGAGAGGAAAAAAGTACAATATATAAAGAACATAGGGAGTATTTAAGAAGGAACCAAACTGAAACCATTTTGAATAAATCTTCCATCTTGAATAGGAGTCAAACAAAGTTTAAGTTCCCCAGACCTGGTAACTGACATCCCCAACTTCTTGGCTGGCAAGGTGACACATGAATGATGGGGCAAGCTGCCCGCCAACACTTCAGTGAACCAACAAATGAGAACAGAAGTGCATCACAGAACAATGCCCCTAGTCTTTGGATCCTGATTGGTGGGGGAAATGTAACTATAAATTGGCATAGATGTTTATGTCTATTCTGCTTAAGGACTTGCTGAGATAATGTTCGGGGGATGTGGTCAGCTGCTGTATCTGTGTCCTTGTCCCTGACCAGTTTTTGCTGTGCTGCTTGCTTTGCATGTCCTCTTGTGTCTGCTTGGGTTGATTAGGAGACTTGGACCCATAACACGATTAGGAGGGGGTACCTACCATATGTGATGGCGACAGAAATGTACAATAGAGGATGAGGGTAGGAGATGAGTACAATATAGGTTGGGGAACTACCAGGGTGGTGTGATGGCTAATTTTGGTTGTCAACTTGATTGGATCTAGAATTAATCAAAACACAGGACACACTCCTGTGAGTGACTTTCTTGATCAGATTATTTCAAGCAGGAAGACCCACCCTACATCTGGGTGGCACCTGCTGGTGGCAGCCCAAACAAAAGGATATGAAGGAAGAAAACTTTGCTTTTTGCCTTCACTCTTACAGCTAAGTTCACCTATCCTGCTGCTGCTGCATTACTCTGCTGACATGAGAACCAGCTTCTATGGCCTTCCATGGAACTGAACAACAGCAGCATTCCAGGAGTCCTCCAGGCCTCCAGCACCAGATCAGGACTGTGGAGACAGCCAGCCTCATGGACCGAGCAACAACCAGATTCTCAGCCTCCAATGTGAGACTGTTAGACTTATCCAGACCATACTGTACAAGCCAAGCTAATAAATCCTCTTTTGATATATGTACTCATTCTATCTGTCCTGTTCCTTTAGAGAACCCCTACTAATGCCAGTGGAAGACCCCAAGTCTTTTGGTCCAAAATCAAAGAAGCCTCCTGGTAACTGTTCCTTCCAAAATTAAGCATCAGAGTCACCAATACAGGCAGCAATGACCCAATGAGGAATATAAGTAGTTTGCATACTCAAGATATTTGCCTAGCTGGGTGGTGGTGGCATACACCTTTAATCCCAGCACTTGGGAGGCTGAGGCAGGTGGCAGATTTCTCTGAGTTCAAGGCCAGTCTGGCCTACAGAATGAGTCCCAGGACAGCCAGGGATACACAGAGAAACCCTGTCTCCAAAACCAACCAACCAACAAACCAACAAACAAAAAAGGTATCTGCCTATGTTTCTTATGAACTTTGTAACTTTGAGGAGCTAGGGATCAAAGTCAGGGTTTTATGCATGTGAGGGGAGCATCTGCCCTAAGCTACATTCCCAACCTGACTTAAGAAAGTTAAGACTTTCCCTCCCTTTGGAGAGAAACAAGGTACAAAAGAAGATCTTCATAAGAACATGAAAAACGTTTTAAACCAGGGGGTTCACATGAAATGAGCATCACTCATTCACATGACTGGGTAGGGGCCAGAAGGGAAGGGTGGAAAGTGGCAGAACAGAAGCCAAAAGTCTCTGAGACAGGAGCGCTAGGGAGCTCCTCACTGAGAGCCCAGGTCAGGTCTGAAGTGATTGTTATTCTCACCACCAAAGCCGTCCTCCCTTTATAAAGGGGGTATCTTTGAGACGTGTTTCCATGGAGAAGCCTCAGTTTATTTTAAACAAGAGAGCTAAGAGTGTGAGACTCCTCAAAATCCTTCTTGGGCACAATGAGGCAGCCTGCCCAGTGTGGATGCAATGCAGCATGGGTGCCAGAGGCCATGTTTGTTTCATCCGGGCTTTGGAGAGCTGACCAAGTGGTTGAAAACTGTGGAGGGCCTGGCCCAACATGTCAACAGCTGAGCAGGTGGGCATTAATGATGAGAAAAATGTATGGGTGCTTCTCAAAACAAGAAGGTGGGCACGGGCTGAGCTGCCATGTAGCTGGCCATCTTTAACGAGATGGGCTGTTACAGCAGCATTTGGTGGATAACATGAGAGAGGCAAGCTGAGAGGTGGAGCCTGCAGTGGACTGCAAAGCCCCTCCACTTGCAGTAAGGATGTTGTGGTCCTGCTCCCATAGACTCGGAAGTCACATGCCAGGAGCAGAAAACAGATACTATGGGTATGGGCATGACTGGTCAGGGCCTGCAATGAAGGAGGTTAGATAACCTTGGCAGCATCATCGTCACATGGACATGCCAAGGAGCTCATCCCTGAGCTCTGCCCCAAACAGCTTCTGAAGGTGTGGAACAGACCCCGGGGCCCTCCATTTCTGAAGCTCCTAGAATCCGGGAGACTCTAAGTTTGGCATTAAGCGGGCATGCAGTGACGGGGAAGAGATGGGGAAATCAGTAAAGAAAAGGAGCCCATGAACTCTGATGTCCCATTCCTGTGTGCTCAAAAGGACACCGAGAGGACAAGGGAGTAAGAGAGCCACTTTCCATGTGCTTTCCCACTACCCCGTGGAACTACTCATTTTCCTCAGCTAGCCTGACCCAACCTTACAAAACCACAATCGAAGCTGTACTTTTAGAGGGCCTCTAGTTGCCTAGGACATCCTGCATTTAGATACTGTCCTTGGATAGGTGCAGAAGCCACTGGCCCTATACACTATCCCAGATATTTAGGAAGATGAAGATCACAAGTTTTTAGTTTGTTCTTTTAGAGACAGGTTTTCTCCATGTAACCTTGGCTGTAGAATAGATTGACCTCCAACTCACAGAGATTCTCCTGCCTCTGCTTCCCGAGTGCTGGAATTAAAGGTGTGCAGCACCACCGCCCGGCTGAGGATCACAAGTTTAAGGCCAAACTAAGCATCTTAATAAGACTCTTACAAAGGGGTTATGGTGTAGCTCAGCGTCACAGCACGTGCACAGCTTTCCAGCACCACAAAGAACAAAAACCATGTCAAGGTGACTGGGCCCCACTCTTGCTGTGCTACTACTGACTCTTGCTGTTTAGGCATCTTGGCATTAGCTCCAAGCACATGGTTTTAAATGAAGCACTGGCTGCCAATGTGGCTCAGCAAATGAAAACGCTTACCATGTAAGTCTGACAACCTGGATCTCACAGAGGAAGGAGAAGACCAACTCCTAACATCCATCAGCATCACGTCACACGAGTGTCACACTTGCACACATACACACTCGATTTAAAAAAAGATAATGCATGTTTTTTGTTGTTTGTGTTTTGCTTAGAGACAGAATCTCACCATGAAGATCAGGCTGGCCTTGAATTCACAGAGATCTGCCTGCCTCTGCCTCCTAAGTGTGAATGCTGGGACTAAGCATGTGCGCTACCACTCCTGGCTCAATGCATGTTCTTTAATGCATAGCACTAGTTGCCCTTGTTGGCCATCTAGAGGGAAATATGGAAGATCTAAGAAGCTGTGTCAGAGGATTATTAACTATTGACAGTCAAGATAAAGTTTGTGCACACAATGCCAAAGGGAAACCATATCAAGGGAATTAAAAGGGAAAAAGAAAACTATGTTACAACCTAGAGAAAGGCCTGATAATCTCACCAAAAGAACATCGTGCAGGGTGTAGGAAGCCTGGCTTGTGAGGGCCTGCCACTCTTGCTCTGTGCTGCAATACAGTTGTACTGACCATTACTGGAAATAATGGGTCAGTGAAGAGGGTTTGATTCTGATTCTTGCCACATGCAATTTGTCCTGTTTTATTTTGAGGATAAAAAGAGGTATCTATGTGATTGTGGTCATCACCTGTGAGACTTCCATGGCAAAATTAAAGAAAGCTGAAAAGCAGCAGCCTTAAGGGACAAGGTGGCACTCTTTCAAGTGGCTGGATCTAGATCTAAAGCCACCCGACACACTCTACAGTTTAGAGATCCCGAGTGCCTATTCTGGGACATGAGTGGCTCTGGGAGATACAGCATGACCATGACAGTGAAGACCCACCCTAACCCCTTCAGTGAAATGAGATCTGCATCTCTTGGTTTTCAACATTTGTGAGGGCTGGGAATATGGATACAGTTCAGTGGTAGAGAGCTTGCTTAGCACAAATGAGGCCCTAGGTTCAGTCCCCAAGATGGCAAACATTATTTCAAATATTTAAAATACTTCTGAGTAGGACTTTTCTTCTCTAGCCACCAGAACCACAGCACTGACACACGGAAAGGCACAGATCTTAGGCCACACTTTGTTCCTGTTTGGTGTGTAAGTTCAGGGGCTCCTTACTCTTTTTACAGACTCTTGTGAAGGGTCAATGGATACATTGCTTTTTCTTGGCCATCAGATGACTATTAACATCTAAGACAGAGTTTTTAGAAGATGTAACTTCAAAGGTCAATCACACGCAAAGGGAACGAATTCCTTAACAAAATGCTTTTGGTCTTCACTTAGGAGACACTCCTTCCTCGGTCGGAAGACTCGGGCTGGTGGTCTCTCCTCTGCCACCGCACTTCCAGGGTGGCTCTCACTCCACGGTTGGACTTTTGCACAGCAGCACATGCTGTTCAAGAAACACTCCATGGTGGGCCAGGTATCAAAAGTGTTAAAGCATCATCAAAGTCATGTCATTTTGTCATTGAGTCTGGATCTACCCAACTGAGTCCTGAGAAAGTGGATCAGCTTGGTCTCTGTGAAGAATGCTGTCCCAAGGGTCACTCCTAAGCAGATGGTCCCCACAGCAATGTGTGCCAGCCTAGCAGGCCAGCCCTGCTCACAACACAGGAATGCCTGGGGAGAGAAACTAGTGTCACTGCCAGATAAACCAGGGAAAAGCTATTGCCCAGCTTCTTTTTTACATTTATTTTATTTTATGTGTATGAACATATGTGCACTCCGTGTGTGTGCCCCATACCCGAGAGACTAGAGAAGCCATGAGAAGGCATCAGATCCCCTGGAAATGATGTTACAGATAGTTGTGAGCCACCATGTGGGTGCTGGAGACTGAACATGTGTCCTCAGAATGAGCAGTCGGTGCTCTTACTGAGCCCTATCTCCAGACCTATCACCCAGCTTCTAAGTCAGATAACAGGCACAGTGATGAGGTCAGGGGTTAAGTACTGCCCTAGAGGTCTGGAGAAGATGGAGCAGACAAATAGTTGATCAGTCTGTTCGGGGTGGGTGGGAGAGGGGAGTCTAGAGGGAAGACCACTGACAGCCTTGCAGAAGCAAGTGTGTGAAGGCTGAAGGGAGTCTTACCTCTGAAACACTAGTAATGCCACCGCTGAGGACAAATGCCCCGAGGAGAACTGGAGACAGGTGCAGGCCAGCCAGGGGTCTGTGAGGGCTCCTCTGGAAGTAATGGTGGATGAAGTAGAGGCTCTGTGTGATCCGAATGCCCATGTTGAAGCAGTTGGCCAAGATGAAACCCACACTGCCACACCAACTGGTCAGGAGGTAGGACAAGACCAAAAATGAGGAGGACAGTGCCAGCATGGTGAAATTGTACCTGGGGAGACAAGCAAAGTCAGGAGGTAAGTATCTTGCCCTAAGACAAGACTATTATACAAAAGGGGCTGGAGAGATGGCTCAGAGGTTAAGAGCGTTAACTGCCCTTCCAGAGGTCATGAGTTCAATTCCTAGCACCCACATGGTGACTCATTGTCATCTAAAATGAGATCGCCCTCTTCTGGTGTGCATGCAACATGCACATAGAACACTGTATATAACTAATAATAAATCTTAAAAAAGAAACAATGTAGCTCAGGTTAGGCGTGGCAGTTTATACCTTTAATTAGAACACTCACTCAACAGGAGGATCTCTTTGAATTCAAGACCCCTGAACTAACAATATTACACAAAAAAGTGGCCATATCAACTCACAGAAACATCTAAGTTCACATTACTCCAAATGAATTCCCATAATCCAATGTTTTTATATGTGTTGTGGGCAGGAATGGTTTGTTCAGTTATTGTGCTAAATTAAACCCAAGGCCTTACTTACATATGTTAGGCATGCTCCTTTGCCTCCATGCTTTTTTTTTTTTTTTTTAGATACAGAGTATCACTTTGTAGCCTATGCTGACTTTGAACCTCCTGAGTATGAGGATTATAGGCCTGAACTATAATACCTGGCTCAGCCCTTGGTTGATTTTTGTTATTGTTTTGTTTTGAGACAGAGTGTCCTTATGTAGTCTAGGCTCATCTCCTAACTTACTATATAGCTCAGGCTGTCTGTCCTTCTGGAATCTCAATCTCTGGCTCCATCTCTGTGAGTGTCTCTCTCTGAGGTGCTCAAGATCAAACCCATGGCTTTGCACAAGCTAAGAAAGTATTCTTGTTTTGTTTTGAGACAGGGTTTCTCTGTGTTGTACCTATGGCTACAACTGGAACTGTTTTGTGGATCATGCTGGCCTTTGTAGCCTACTCACAGAGATCTACCTCTCTCTGCCACTTCCTGAGTGCTCAGTTTAAAGGTGTGCGCCACCAGCCCCAGCAAGGCAAGCACTCTTGACTGAAAAGCATCTGCAACCCTCAGGCCTTAAACTCATAATCTTCCTGCCTCAGACTACCAAGAGCTAAAAGGACAGTTGTGTGCTTCCATGCCCTGCCAAAACCCATGTTTTTGTAACACTGAATACTAGTTAACATGGAAATGTGACTTTTTCTTGACCCCTAAACAAAACATACTGAATTAAAGATACTTAGACTTTATTTACTTTTCTATTTTTGTTTTTTCAAGACAGGGTTCCTCTGTGTAGCCCTGGCTGTCCTGGAACTCACTCTGTAGACCAGGCTGGCCTGGAACTCACAAAGATATACCTGCCTCTGCCTCCCGAGTGCTGGGATTAAAGGCATGTGTCACCACCACCAGGCAATACTTGGGACTTCAAAGGATAATACTTTATTAGGTGATACTTTGTAATCAAAACACAGAAATCCTTTTCAGCTGAAATCTTCAATGAATGTGACCTGGGTAATAATGCCAACTCCGTAAAGGAATGTGAGGGGAGCTAGGGACACTGGCAAGCAATTAATATGCATAATTCCTATCCTGTGCAGCTTAAGTTTGTTCAACAGAGAAATGAGCCAGCACAGTGAGGCTGAGAACCCACCCATCCTGCTAATGGATGAATGCTTTAGTGCTTCACCCTGCTCTTCTTGGGAAGTGAGGCACTCGGGAACTGAACCTCACTCAAAGCAAGCCATAGATCTCCAGAACAACCTGTGAGCATCGAGCAAAGCTTGGACACTCCCTAATGTTTTCCCCACGTGCACAGACTTCCCGGGCTCTCTACACCTCTAGTGTTCTTTGGACTTTGGAGCTGAATCGTTATGCTACTTCTCTCACCACTGATTTCAAGCACCTATCTTCAGTGCTGTGCAAAGGAAAGACCTGAGCCTTGGCATCATAAAATTAATGCCACAGTCCTCAGAAACTCTGTGATACAACCATGAACTAAATCCTCAGCATCTGTGTTCTGCCTACTTCACAGGGAAGAGTAAACCAAATGGTTATCCAATACCAGTGATCAGCCCACCTGGGACATACATGCAACTATCATACAGACTGAGTGAGTTGTTTTTATATATTTAAGAATACATACATACACACACTAATTAAAGGAAAAAAGGCCATGAAATTGAAAGAGAGCAAGATGGATGGTACATGGGAGGGTTTGCAGCGAGGAGAGGGAATTGGGAAATGATGTAATTATATTAAAATCTTAAAAATATTATTTTTTAAAAAGAAAAGATTGCTACCACCTGCTATCTAAATTTCTTTATGATCTGGTCATAGGACTCGCTGTTTATCTTAAACAGTTCAAAAGTGTTTTAGTATTGCTTCACTATCTCCACATTAACGTTGAAATTACTGTTAAAATTCCCTCCCTACCTGTTGGTGCACACCTTTAATCCCAGCACTCAAAAAGCAGAAGTTGGTGGGTCTCTGTGAGTCCAGAGCCAACTTAGCCTACATAGCAAGTTCCAGGACAGATAGCAAGAAATTGTCTAAAAGAAAAAGTGTGTAATGTGTGGTAGAGTTCTAGTTCACACACTGCCACATCTCAGCATTCCTTAGATTAATTTTATATTTAAATTACTCAGTGTTAGAAGCAGCTTTCAAATATTGAAATATGGTATTTTTCAAAGTTGGGCTTTTTATCCTGCAGTCCTGTAGCTATAAACCTAACTGGGTAAGGTAAAGATGATGTGTAGACGACTATTCTAAGATCATGGGTTATGATCTACTAATAGGCTAGCAAATTAATTCAGTAGGTCATAATGTGTCTTTAAGACTTTTGAATTATATTTGTATTTATTTAGCTTGTTTTTAGCATGTCTGTCTGTCTGTGTGTAGGACAGTGCACGTGTACAAATTAAAGGACAACTTGCAGGAGTCACTTTTCCCTGGGTTAGAACTCTAGTGTTCAGGCTTGGCAGCAGGCACCTTTTCCTACTGAAATATCTTATCTTAGATGTAGGGGTTTGGTTTTTTTTTTTTTTTTTTGAAGAATGAGACAGAAGAGAATAAAAGGAATCAATGTATCCTGTGCATAAGTGAGATCCTTTTTACTTTATGGATTCTGGCTTCTGTCATATGCATTTACATGTGTACTGGGTCTTGTTTTACTCAGACCAGCAGTTTCCACAGCTTTGAATTCAGAATTGCTTGGTGCTGGTAATGAATATTTTCCCTGGCTTAAGTCTCCAAAAATTCCAATCCTACTGGCCCAGGAAAAGACCAGAAGTCCCTAAGATAACTGCTTCCATCTGGGCTAGCATCTTGGCTACACTCCAGTCACTGTGCAGCAAAGGCTCCTATGTTCAGCTGCCTAAGACGAGAACAGAGGTTGCTAAGATGGGAGAAGGACCCCCTGACTCTGGGCTGCCCCTTCCTCACTCCACACAGACCAAGCCTCTGAAGTTTTCAATGGTACTCAAGGTAACAGAGGCGGCATGGAAACTTTCAAGGGTCCAGAAATCAAGGGACAGTGGATAAATAGGAGGGCCACTCACTCACCACCCTCTCTCCCTTATCTTTTTTTTTTTTTTTTTTTTTTTTTTTTTTGAGACAGGGTTTCTCTAGGTTTGGAACCTGTCCTGGCATTCATTCTATAGACCAGGCTAGCCTAGAACTCACTGAGATCCGCCTGCCTCTGCCTCCCAAGTGCTGGGATCAAAGGTGTGTGCCATTACCGCCCAGCTCCTTTATCATTTTTATCCTTCTCATCTTACAATGACATCATAAGGTACCACCTTAATATTTGTGGCATTTAGGATTCAAAAAGCAGATGATCTTGGGCATGAACCAAAGATATTAAGCTATTTCACATCAGAATAATGAAGGAGATTTTAAAATACACATGCATGCCGAAGGGCCTACTGACCAACTGTACAGATGTGATAGGAAAGAGTGGTACAAGTAGGGAAAACAAGAAGCTGTAGGCAGGAGACATGGCTCAGAGGTTAGGAGCAGTGGCCGCGCTTCCAGAGATCCTTAGTTCAATTCCTGACAACCACAAGGTGGCTCACAACCATCTGTATTGAGATCTGGTGCCCTCTTCTGGCCTGCAGAGATACATGCAGACAGAACACTGTATACATAATTTAAAAAAAAGAAAAGAAAAAACAAGCTGTGGTTATAACTATCTCCATGGAACACAACCAGTGTTAAAATTATTGGTGAAAGCTCCAAGGCAGGAACCCAATCTAGAGCTAAGAAGTAAGAAAAACTTGTGCTCAAATACATATATGCCTTTGAGCCTTTTACTTAGGAAAGATATCATAGACCTGAGATTCTTGGAGAACTACAAATCTACTTTTTGTTTGTTCGTTTGTTTTTGAGACAGAGTTTCTCTGTGTAGCTTTGAAGGCTGTCCTGGAACTAGCTCTTTGTAGACCAGGCTGGTCTCAAACTCACAGAGATCCGCCTGAGCCTGCTTCTGTGTGCATCACCACTGCCCAGCCTCTTAGGGACAAGAATTTACATATATATATGTGTGTGTGTGTGTGTGTGTGTGTGTGTGTGTGTGTGTGTGTGTGTGTGATTTCCCTACATCTATGTCTGTGCACCACATGCATAGATTGCCCAAGGAGGCCAAAAGAGGATGTTCTGTTAGAACCCAGGAATTACTAAAGATTGTGAGCTACCACACAGGTGCTGGGACTTGAACCTAAGTTCCTTAAAAAAATAGCCAATGCTCTTAACGACTGAATAACCTCTCTAGCCACTAAGAATTTGCTTCTTGAAAAGGCAAAATAAACCCCCTGGAGTTGAGACCCACTCTTAGGGACTGAGCAGGGATGCAGTATCACAAAGGCTAGCTTTTCCTAAGGCTGTCTGCACACCTAACAAATACAACTCTCCCAGGGTGATATCCACCCCTCATTAAAGGAAGCAGAATACCTGCTTCCCAGACCCACTGTGGTAACAGTAGGTAAACTATGCCAGGGCAATGGTGGTCCTAGGGAGGTACCCACTAGTGTAGTGTGGCTTCTGAAAGAAGTATAAACAATTCCATGCTCAGAATGAAAAGAAAAAGATGAGCAGTTAATTCATTTTGGCCAAAGGCCATGATTAAAGGTGTGCTTTCTACATTACCCACCTGTCAACCTCTTCTTTGCTCATGGCAGCAAAAGTAAAACACTCAGTCACACCATTGATTGCAAGCAGGAGAACATAGAGACAATAGGAACGCATCAACACAGGACCTGCAAGGAAAAAATCCACAGAGATCATTAACTCCATCATTTGTTCAGTCAGGTCATGGGACCTGATGGTAACAATGGGAGACTGCAGCATGCACACTTGAGGGCTCCTAGTATCTCATGGCACTGACTAAAACACTCAGGTAAAATCAAAAGGACAGTAAGGAAAACAAACATAGATCTCGTGCTGAACAACCAAAAGCTTGCGGCCCACCAACCAAAGCTTCGAACATTTTCAATCAGCAGAGAGGTGATGCTCCCTAGTTTGAACACTGAAGACACCAGCATGTATTAAGACAACTCAATTGAACAGGCTGCAAATGCCCTTTGGGAATAGCCAGGGCCCAGGACCAGCAACAAACTTCTGAGACAGAACCTTCACAATCCACAGTGAAAACCAGCAACCCCCCCCCCAGTGGTACTTTTTCCTAAAATAAACTAATAGATATGGTGTAATATCCAGCAATACATTTTTCTCCGTATAACAGTCCTGGCTGTCCTGGAATTCACTCTGTAGGCCAGGCTGGCCTTAAACTCACTGAGATCCACCTGTCTCTGCCTTCCAAGTGCTGGGATTAAAGGTGTGTGCCATCATACCCAGCTGGTCCTAAATTCTTTTCTAAGAGCAATAGTACTGCTGATATGTGATGCAATGGTCTAACCTGTACAAAACCCAGTGTTTGATACCCAGCACCACACTCTATTAAACAAGCATGGTAATGATTGGACAGCCCTCTCTGCAACATCCTGTGGTAGGGTTAAAGCAGAGGCTGTTTCTTGGGGACTGTTTTCTAAGGGGGCAGAAATGGTATGAAAAAGTTGGATCCCCTATCTCTTCACACAAATTTCCTAATGGCTTCCTAATGAGGCCTCCCAAGCAGTTGCCTGATGAAAATGTATTGCTTAAGGCACAAACCCCAGGGAGTCACAAATCATATCATAGGCTTCACAGCACATATTTCCTCAAATTTAACAACCTCTGCTCTGGTGTAGAAACATGGTCGTCCCCCAATACCAAAAGTCTGAGCCCCATTGTGACAGCTGAAACATGGACAGGGCCCTTTATATGGAGATGGGTCAGCAGAGAATCTTCCAGGTTCTTTTCTAGTGGCCTGAGAAAGTAAAAACATCTCTGCTCGTCCCAAGATAAAAACTACAAATGGATGGTCAGTCTAGAGCCCAGCATAGTTTGAAATAGGTAAACACCCCAAGGACTAGCAAGTGCACTGAAATTTTTGGCAGCCTGGGGACCAAGCATTTCAATGATAGATGCAGTCCGTGCTGCTTTTCTCCTTCCAAACCAAGAGTCAGTAGATTAAATATACAACTTTATTGCTGAGATCAATTTTATTCTAGGCAAATGGTTCCAGGTTATCTTTCCAAGGCCATCACAGTCTGAGATTTACATGGCATTTACTATCTCAGACACCAAGTAGAGACCCATCCTAACCTGCTCTCTGCTTTCCTCCCTCACTTAGAGGAAACACAGGTATGTACTTGGCAGAATATACTTAAGGGAAGATAGATAGATAGATAGACAGACAGACAGACAGATATAAGACCTGAGAGGAAAGCCAAAAGCAGGATTCACCACTTCTTCAAGTGAGGGTGGAGAACTGAGTGCAAGCCCAGTAATTGTGCACTGATAGTGAGGGCCCAGCCCCAAAGCCCCAGCTATCCAAAACTTCCCCCCACAATGACAGGGGTCAACCATGTATGTATGCACATGGCCTGAATTTCAGGAGCCACTTCCATTTCTCTTCAAAAGTCAGAACAAGCAGATCTTTACAAAGTCTAGCACATACCCGATCCTGAACTAAGCATGGCTCCTCCATAGATGTCCAGAGCTAGTTGAGAATAGGCAAAACCAAAAACAGTGATGGTCAGGCCAGTCAGCAAGGCCAGTTTGAGGAGGGACTCCAAAACTGCAGCAGCCACAGCAATGTCCTCCTAGCAGAGGGGAAAGGGAAGGAAGTCAGCTGAGTGTGAGCTCGAGTCCCTCATGCAGGCTGCCCTTCCCATGAGGGCTCTGTGCCTCTCTGAACTCTGTACTTGTCTTTTGTGACAGCTGGAATGAAAGTGAGAAAAGTGAGCCCTGTCTCCAGGTGGGAAGTAGGAGGCTGTTTTCACCTCGTCCAGGATAAATTTCCAGTGTCGCTAAGAAAACACCTGCTTTACCCTCGTATCTTCGCCTATGCTAATAAGAACTGCACTGCTTCTCATTGATGGCTTGAAATTCTGTTATTGTCAACATACACTTAGGGGAATACTCCTAAATCAGACATCCAACCAGACCTTACTTTAGGTACTGGGCATAAACTGCACTTTGTCAACTATCTTCTAAGACACAGAAGAGGTGGACCTAGATTGCTTTAAGTTGCAAAATAAGTCAGAGGGGGCAGAAGAGAAGACTCCTCAGGTAAGAGTGCTTGCTCTGCAAGCATGAGGGCCTGAGGCCCTGATTTAAAATCTTCAGCATCCATATATATATATATATATCCATATATATATATATATATATATATATATATATATATATATAAAGAAGCCAGCCAGCTGAGTCAAAATGGTGAGCTCCTGGTTCAGTGAGACCCAATCTCAAGGCATAAGGCAAAGAAGACACCTGATGCCTTGTTGTGGTCTCCACATGTGCAGGCATGAGCACCTGCATACTCATGTTCCAGTCTCGACATGTACATACATGGACACCTGTGATGGGAGATGTCATTCTGTATATGTTTCTCATACTGGTTAATAAATAAAACACTGTTGGCCAATAGGAAAGGAAGATAGGAGGGACTAGGAGGAAGAGGAAGTAGTAAGGAGGAGTCAAGATGGAGAGTCTGGAGAAAGCAGTATGCAGGCTGGCTCCCCGGTAAGAGAAATACATAGATCAGCAGAAATGGGTTAATAATTAAGACAGAGCTAGCCAACTAGTAATGGGCCAACAGATTATATCAAATACAGAGTCTCGGTGTGTGTTAATTGGGGCCGGCGCGGCGGTGGGACAAGGCCAGCCGCGGCAGGCGGAAAAACCATACTCGTTACACACCTGCACCTGCATACTCATGTTCTATTCTCCACATGTGCACACATGGACACCTGCACCTGCATACTCATGTTCTATTCTCCACATGTGCACACATGGACACCTGCACCTGCATACTCATGTTCTATTCTCCATATGTGCACACATGGACACCTGCACCTGCATACTCATGTTCTATTCTCTACATGTGCACACATGGACACCTGCATACTCAGGTATATACATCTCACAAACAGTGAATTAATAAAATAATGAAGGTTAAAAATCTTTTTTAAAGCTAGGCAGTGGTGGCATACACCTTTAATCCCAGCACTTGGGAGGCAGAGGCAGGCGAATCTGTTAGTTCAAGGCCAGCATGGTCTATAGACCAAATTCCAGGACAGCCAGGGGCTGCACAAAGAAACCCTGTCTCAAAAAACAAAACAAAACAAAAAGAGTCAAACTTTTTTAAAATAAGTCAGAATTTTCAGTGATTACCGGGCTATGGACCTAGTTCATTTGGGAGCGTGCTTGCCTAGCATGTTCAAGGCCCTGAGTTTAATCCTTCACACTGCACAAACTGCCTATGGTGATGCACATCTGAAATCCCAGCACTTGGGAGGTTGAAGCAGGAGGCTCAAAAGTTCAAAGCCATCTTATGTGTAAGACCCTGTTTCACAAACAGACAAACAACAAAAATAAAAACCCAACAATTAATTAAATAAACAAAGAGTAAGGTGATATACGAGGACAAAGGGGTCAGACTCAAAGGATAGCCAGGAAGAAGAGAGAAGTCAACTCTGGGTCCTGCCAACACTGAGAACAAGAGAAGAACAATCTACATGTGGTGACGCGTACTTTTACCTCCACTACTTGGGCAGTAGAGGAGGCAGAGGATCGAAAGCTTCCAGGTCTACCTTGGCTACAAAGGGAGTTCAAAGCCAGCCAGGGCTACAAGGCACTGTCTCAAAAAAAAAAAAAAAAAAAAAAAAAAAAAAACACAAAGCCAGGCAGTGGTGACACACACCTTTAATCCCAGCACTTGGGAGGCAGAGGCGATGGATCTTCAAGTCTGAGGACAGTCTGATCTACAAAGCAAGTTCCAGGACTACATAGTGAGATCCTGTCTCAAAAAACAAAAAACCAAAGCAAAACAGAAAGAGGAGATCTAGAAGGAAGCATCAAATCAAACTGAAGGAAAACTGAGTGCCCCAAATTTCTTGTCATTCACCTGATGAATGAGAACCAACTTTACCTGCTTCTGATGTGTGGCATCCTTCTCCCTCTCTAGTACCTTAGCAAAGAAGATATAAAAACTCTCCTCTATTGGCTGGAAAATTAGCCTAGCCACAAGGGACCCAAGATTATTCACTATGTCATATACACCTATAAAACAGAAAGGAAGAACAATAATCATGTTAGTTCTTAATTTCACAGCCCTATATGAAAATTGTTTTTCTAATTCAATGTTTAATTTAAAATTTTAATCTTTTTTTTTTCTTTTGTACACAGGGTCCCCTGTAACCCAGGCAGGCCTTTTACTCTCTACACAGCCAAGAAAAACTTGAATTTCTGATCCACCCCTCCACCTCCCAAATTCTGGGACTATAAGTGTATCGCCACATCTGACATTTCATGGTGCTGAGAATTAAACTCACTGCTCCATGCATGACAGGCAAACACTGTACTAACCAAGCTGCTCCCCCAGCCAAAAGTTTGCTGTGTATTTACATGTAGTTGAAGAAATGATAGATCTATGTACCAAATGGCAATATCTTGCAAAATCTGAAGTACAATATTGCAACTATGATCTATCCATTGATATAGTCAAGATAGAGGCACTTTTATCACTAGTCCTTTAAAGATTAAGTCATCAACTCCAAGCTGACTTTTTCTTTACTTCTATTTCCATGACTCTGGTGTCACATTGATATAAAGCAAACCCTGAGAGACTTACCCAGCCACACTAACTGGAAGCAGATCTTTGTGACTACAAGGAGCCTCACCCCTCAAAATGACTAGAGGAAACAGGTAGAGAATGAGGGTCCCAACAAGACTGCCACTAAGTCACATGACATCAAAGACCTAGAATCTATTAATGGTATCCATCTTTAAGTAAAACACTACAGACTTTCATCTTACCCTGATCGCCAAAGTTTAATACATTCAAAAATGTCATCACATATCGCTCGCCTATAATAGAAAAGCAAAATTAGCATTTCAAATGCAACTTTCATTTTTTTCCTTTTCTTTATGATCTATCAGTGTTTCCAATTGATAAATACACCCACCCACCCTACCTTACCAATCCCCCTTTTTTTGAGTTCAAGAATGGACCCGAACTTGAGAACCCCCTGCCATACCTTCCTGGATGCTAGGCTTGGAAAAACAAAACAAAACAAAAAACAAACAATAAAACATGGGGAGATTTCAGAAATGTTAATTAATAGTGAAATGATTTCCAAGTCTTAAGAAAAGACACATTCTCTCTCCGTCTGTCTGTCTGTCTCCAGAGTTTCTCTGTGTAGCTTTGGAGCCTCTCCTGTCACTCACTCTGTAGACTAGGCTGGCCTCGAACACAGAGATCCACCTGTCTCTGCCTCCTGAGTGCTGGGATCAAAATCATAGTCACCATGCCTGGCTTGAATTTTATTTTCCACAAAGAAAATGGCCATGATAGAGACAAAGCACCAAAGAGTGGCTACAGTCCCAAAGAGCAAGTTCTCACCTCCTGGCAACTCAAAAACAAAACCATTACAAGGTCAAGTTCCCACCTTCTCACAAGACTACTCTCTCTCTCTCTGACCTGTCTCCCTGTAAAGACAACTGTGTGTGACAGGGACCCCTGTGGGTCTTCTCATGTTTCCATCTCTTATGCTGCTCTGATGTACCCTGACTTTGAACAGTTCCAGCTTTTGTAAATACAGTCAGACTCCATGTCTAAGAGTTTGTTATTCTAATGATCAAACCAACTGTAAACCAAAAACACCCAGAAAAAAAAATGCATTTGAACTGAACATGACTGAACATGTCTTATTATTATTCTCTAATAATACAGTATAATGATAATTTTGCATAGCACTTGCATTACACAAGGTACAATAAGTACTCCTGAATAATTTAAAGCATAAAAAAGGGTATGCCTAAGTTATATGCAAAATTATACTATTTTATACAGGGGCTTGAGCATCCTTAGATTTTAGTGTATCTAGGATTGGTCCAGGAACCAAAACCTGATACCAAGGGACAGCTGTATAGTCCCCTTTCAATCCCTGAGTTTTCTCCTTCAAAATGACTCATTAGTATTTGCAAAAGTCCAGGCTCAAACCCAGCAGTAGTGATTGAGCCTTTAATCCCAGCACTATGGAGGCAGAGGCTAGTTCAAGACTAGCCTGGTCTATAGAGTGAGTTCCAAGATGGCCAGGGCTACACAGAGAAACCCTGTTTCAAAAAACAGTCCGGGTTCCTTAATTCTGCAGTTGAGGCATTCTGTACCCTAAGCCCAGCTATCTTTTTGGCCTCCTTTCTCCATCTTCACCCTGGTCACATTTTCATCCTGTGAGCCCTGCCTACCTGAGTTTCCCCTCAGCAGCTCTGGTTCAGTGTGCACCTGACTGGGCCATCCTCACCACCTACAATGGATTTTTTTTTTAAGGCCCCTCCCTGTTTTCTGGCAGGACAAGGCTCCATCTTCAGTTTCTTAAGAGAGCTCTAAGAAATGAGGAGTCCTCAAGGAGCTTTTGATGACTGAGTTAAGATCTCTAAGCACAGCCCCACAGCCAGCTAACAACCTCACACCAGTGGCTTTCATGAGAGTGAACTTCTTGAGACCATGGCCTGTTACTTATCTGTCTTTGTTCTCAGCATCCAACAGTGTACAGGAAATGTGGGGGCAAACGGGGAGAGCGCACACTCTCACTACCACATACAAGACAATTCTTCATTTTACTGAAACAGGGTTTTTCTGTGTGGCCTTAGCCATCCTGAAACCTGTCTGTAGACCAGGCTGGTCTCAAACTCAGAGGTCCACCTGCTTCTGCCTCCCCAGTGCTGGGATTAAAGGTGTGTGCTACCACTGAGCAGCTGAGAGACAGTTCTGAATACGGTTGAAGAATGTATAAAAAGTTAGGCTATCATAATGAGATCATTTTCTCTAATTTTTAAATTTTCTTTCATTGATATAACACTTTTATAATAAACATATTAAGTGATATAATATGGGCTTTTCCAGTTAGATTTTGCTGCAGTTTGGCTGTGAAATGTCCCATGTGTTGAAGCTTTGAGCCCCAGCCATGGTGGTACAGGAAGCTTCAGGAGACAGCAGGGACTAGAGGGAGAAAGTGGTCACTGGCACATGTTGCTGAAGGATACATTAAAGCTCTTGCCCTCTCTGTCTGTCTCCCAGCAAGCCTCCTCTGCCATATACTTGCACCATGATATACTGTATTAACTTGGGCCCAAAGCAACATAGGCTAAAACTGTGGGTCAGATCAAACCTTTGCTGCTTTTAAGCTGACTGTCTCAGGTATTCTGCCACATTACAGAACACTGACTAACAAAGACTTAGATTTCAATTAAGCTATCTTTTGCTATACTGTAGGACTGTAAAGCACAACCCCTGGTTTCCTGGCCCCTATACAGAGGAAGACAATGTCCTTTATAAGGCTGTGGAGAAATTTAAACTAGACAGTTTGAGTAAAACACAAAGACAAAAGCCAGGCAGTTGTGGTACACGCCTTTAACTCCAGCACTTGGGAGACAGAGGCAGGAGGATCTCTGTGGGTTTGAGTCCAGCCTGATCTACAGAGTGAGTGCCAAGACAGGCTCCAAAGCCAGAGAGAGAAACCCCAACCCCCCCCCAAAGAAACCCATAAAGCCAAGCCAAATAAATATTAGCTCCCCTATCTTTATTTAAAGCAAAATAAAGCAAGCATATTTCTAAGTGTCGTCTGCCAAGGGCTCCAGATAAGTGCTCTATGCCATCAGTCCTGTGAGCTCTCCCAGCTCTCAGATGACCTTTTACTTACCTTCTGTCAAAATCTGTTTCAGGAAAGACTGTTTGAAAAAACTCCAAGTCAATTTAGCCTCTTCCCAATTGACAAATGCCTACAAGAAAAACAAAACATAAAACAAAATTTCCAGCATTTCTAAGCTAAGAGCTACCTGAGAGGCAAACTCATGTCTGGCCCCTAAGATCCCAACTTGAACAGCTCCCTTTGAATCTTCAATCAGTTCTAAGCACACAGAACAAAAAGTAGCAGACAACAGCTATGATTTGAATCTTGAGTGTCCCTGAAAGCAGTGTGCTGAAGTCCTCAGTAGGACCCAATTGGAAGGCCAGAAGGTGGCAGAGTCTTCAGTGGTGTTCAGTGAGAAGAGCTATGGCCACGAGGGGCGCGCTGCAGAGGGCATGGTGGGACTCCAGCCCCCTCTCTTCTTTCCCTTTCCAGACAGGAGAAAACTGTTTTTGCTCAGCCATGCACTTCTGCTACAATGTGCTGTCTTAACACAGGCCAAAAGCAGCAGGGCCAACTGATCATGGATAGAAACCTTTTCTGGATGGGCATCTTGTATTGTCAGTACCCAGAAGGTTGAAGCAGAAACATTCTGAATCAAGGCCAGCTTTAGTTATAAAGGGAGTTCTAAACCAGCCTAAACAACAAAGTGGACCCCATCTCAAAAAGTGAAACAAAAGCCCTCAAACAGGAGTGATGACTCCTGTATCTCAGTATCAATCAGGAGGCAGAAGAAAGGACTGACCTCCTTCAAGACCATTCTGGGCTACAGAGTGAATTTAAGGCTAGCTAGACTATAGAGTGAGACCTTGTCTCTGAACAAAACTAAAACTAGACTAAACTTTCTTCATGATTTATTTCAGGTATCTGTTATAATAACAGAAAGCTGATTTCCAAAAAGGGAAGGCAAAGTTTTAGGTATTACTGTTTAGGTATTACTGTTGTCCCTTTGGATGCCTTTGAAGTCCAGACAGTATACTACCACATCTAAAACACAGTTCACATTCAGATCTTTTCTTTAAAACAAAATATAGCGAGGCAGTGATGGTGCATGCCTTTAGGCCCAGCACTCAGGAAGAAGGTACAGCTCTGTGAATTCCAGGCCAGCTTGGTCTATATAGTGAGTACCAGAACAGCTATCACTGTTACACACAGAAACCCTGTTTCAATAAAAAAATAAAAAAATAAAAAAAAAAAATAAAGAATAAAGTGTGTGTGTGTGTGTGTGTGTGTGTGTGTGTGTGTGTGTGTGTGTCTGAAGCATATGAAGCTAAAGAACAAACTCCACCCCTTGAATTCCTTATCTTAATGCTAGGTTCAACCACTCTGGGTCCTTGATGAAGTTATAAGTTGTAATCAAGTATTCCAGAAGAAACTCAACCTTCCCAGGTGAGATAAACCACTCAGAATTGATACAATTGGGAAAGGATAGATTAAAATGATAACAGCAACAACAAAACCCTAACTTTACCTATGACTTTTCTGAAACCTCCAAGAGGCTCAAACTGCTACTTCTTAAAGACAACAAAGATTAGAAGGAAACAAATACCCAGATAGCACAGATTAGCCTATGAGCCTTAAAGCCAGAAAGCTAACTACAAAGTGAACAATTGAGTAACTAGTTCCCCTCAGTTCCTAGTGGTATCCTGGAGTCTCAGATGTTAAGTCTAGAATTATAATTCTTTGTTTTCTAAAGCTACAGAAATCAGGAAATAGAAACAAGTAAACAAGTAAAATCATTTTGTTTTCTTTCCTTTTTTTTTTTTTTTTTTTTTTGGTTTTGCTAGACTAGGTTTCTCTGTAGCTTTTGGAGGCTGTCCTGGAACTCATTCAGTAGCCCAGGCTGGCCTTGAACTCATCGGACATTCGCCTGCCTCTGCCTCTGCCTCTGCCTCTGCCTCTGCCTCTGCCTCTGCCTCTGCCTCTGCCTCCTGAGTGCTGGGACTAAAGGTATACGCCACCACAATCGCCAGGCATTTGTTTTGCTGTTCAGAAAAGGTTGTAGCTATGCAGCAAGATAACAATAAATATGGATTAGTTACTTGTCTCGTCACTGTGGCAAAACACCGGACAGAGTAACTAAAGGAAGGGGGAAAGGCTTATTCTGGCTCGCCGTTGAGCACAGTCCATCACGGAGGGGAAGGCAGGGGTAGGAGAAGAGGCACTGCTCACACTGTATCCACAGTCATGAAGCAGAAAACAATGGATCCCAATGCTCAGCTCCTTTCTCCTTTCAATTTAATCCAGGACCCAGGGCTGATGGGACAGCTCTGCACACACCAAGGGTGTGCAAGGGAGGGCCTTTCCACCTTAATTAACCCAATTCAGAAATTCCCTCAGAGATGTGCCTACTTTTCTGGATGATTTGGCTCCTGTGGGGTTGATAATCAATATTAGCTAGTATACTATGTTACCCAGGCTGACCTTATTTATGATCATCCTGTCTCAGCATCCCGAATGCTGAGATTACAAATATACAAAACGTGTGTGGGTGCGCGTGCAAATTTGTATAGGTGGGCATGTGCCACAGTATATTACGTGTGGTGATCAGGAGACACCTGTGTGGAGTCAATTTTCTCCTTCTACATTTACATGGATTCCAGGGCTTGAATTCAGGTAACCAAGTTTGTTCAGCAAGAGCAACTTTACCAACTGAGCCATCTCATTGACTAAATGTGACTTTTGAACTCTTTACCCTCTTGCTTCCAATTCCCAGTGCTAGGATCACAGTCCCACACTACTAACCCTCCTTTATGTGGTTGTTAAAGATTGAACCCAAGCAAAAACTCTAACAAATGAGCTAGGTTTTTTTTTTTTTTTTTAAGATAGGGTCTTATGTGGTTCATGTAACCTTTAACTCAATATGTAGCTGAGGATGACACTGAACTTTGGATCCTCCTGCTTCTACCTACCAGCTGCTAGAATTGTAGGTACATTATCACATCCTGCTTCCTAATTTTAACATACTTAACTCAAAATATTATTCTGCCAGGCAGTGGTGGCACAGGACTTTAATCCCAGCACTCGGGAGGCAGAGGCAGATGGATCTTGTGAGTTCAAGGCCAGCCTGGTCTACAAAGTGAGTTTCAGGACATCTCTCTCTTGGAAAACCAAAACAGAAAAAAATATTATTTCGCCATGTGCTGAATACAAAGTATAGCTGCACTTCATATTATTTTTTCTCGCCCTAACCTTCCAAGTGCAGTATGCATTCTAAACTTACTGCTCCTTCGATCCAGATTATTTCAAAATGCTCTACAGTCACACATGGCTCAGGCCAGATGACTATTTTAGACAGGGCAATCCTAGGACACCTCTGAGGAAGTGGGGCTCTTTTCAGCCCTGATTCTTCTCTTTCTCTCTTTTTAGACAAGAGGATGAGCCTGAACCCTCCCAAACTGTGCCACCTTCAGGGTATCAATGAACTCTGAGCAGATTCCAAAGTATATCTCTAGCCCCCGAAGTAAGCCTTCCCCAAGCAGAAGGAAATTGGGCCACAAGATGTTTAACACTGGGGACTGGACAGATAAATGGCTCAGTGGTTAAGAGGACTGGCTGCTCTTCCAGAGGACCTCAATTCCCAGCAACCAGGTGGTGGCTCACAGCCATCTGTAATGAGATCTGGTGCATGCAGGTAGAACATTGTATACATAATAATAAAAGCTTGAAAAGAAAAAAAAAGTTTAACATTGAGCAGAACAAAAGGTGCCAGACAACCTCAAACCACTAGAGGGCACTGTGGACCACTCATCCTCAGACTCAGCCCATGTCTGGTGAAGTAAGGATACAGCATCCCCAATCTCACATTGCCCCTGCCCTGGCACAATGGTGTTGCTCTGAGGGAACCTGTGCTGTAGCACCTGCACTATTTTCAAAGGAAATGCAAATCTGAAACTTGCCCGTGGGTTCTTGGGTCCTGCCCCCACCCCTACACCCCACCTGCCCCAGACAAATTCTCACTTAAATAGCCTAGTTGGCTACCTTAAAAACTTGCAGCCATCTCCCCCATCTTCTCGAAAGCTGGGATTAGCAGTGTGTGCCACTATGCCAGACCCCATGATGCTCTTGTTGAAGCCATTGAGTAGTAAACATGTTTGGGCAAACGATGCAGCTTTCAAAAGAGAAAGTCCTTGGGAGAGTAAGTCCTAATGCCTTCTGTGTAGATGACCTGTGGTTCAGAAAGAATGGCCACACAACACACCCAAAGTGTTCATTAAGAACACACTGGCAGGAAGTCCACTCTGAGGCTTGGTTCTCAGGCCTCTGAGTGATAGAAAAGAGGAAGCAAATGCTGGGGACTTACATCCTTCTATTTGGAATGGATCTGTCACTTGGGAGGGTGTGTGGCACTATGTTACTGTGGAGCTCAGGGCTGAGACAGACATTAATTTCTCTGAATCCTCCTAAGCAGACATCTGATAGCCTTGCTATGCTAATGGGCACATTGAGGCTTGAGAGGCGGAAGGTGATAGGCAATAACTACGTGTTGTCCTTCTGAGTTCCCAAACCTGACTGACTCAGCATGATCAGCTGTGTCTCCCACATTGAAAGTCACTGGGAAGCCTGAGGCCACAGCCACCACCTCCATCACTCCACACAGTACTCCTTCCTTTCCCCTTGCTCTTCCTATCACAATCCTCACAGGTCACTGACTGCCCCAGATTTGCCCATCCTCCATTTTCATCTGCCTTATGACTGTCCTTACCACTTCTTACCTGGAATACTGCCGTGGCCTCCCATCAAGACATTTCACTTAAACTTTTGCTCTAGCCCATCCTTTTCACTGTAGGTTCAGGCTCTGGCAACCAAGCTTAGCTCTAGGCCATGGGCAAGACAGTTAACTTTGCTAAGTCTTGGTTTTGTTATCTGCAAAATGAGACAAGCTCTACTGGTGTGGGATGTCCTTCTGAATTCTGTGAATATGTGTTGCTATTACTGGTGGATGAATAAAGCTGCTTTGGCCTATAGCAGGGCAGAATATAGGTAGGTGGGAAATCCAAGCAGAGATTCAGGGAGAAAGAAGGTGGAGTCAAGGGGACACCATCCAGCTGCAAAAGGAGAAAGATGTCCAAGCATCACTGGTAAACCACACCACGTGGCAATATACAGATTAATAGAAATTGGTTAATTTAAATGTAAGAGCTAGCCAATAATAAGCTTAAGCCATTGGCCAAACAATTATAACATTAAGCCTCTGAGTGACAATTTTATAAGTAGCTGTGGGACCTGTCAGGACAACAGAAAAGCTTCCAGCTACACTCTACCTTACAGTAAGATTAGCTAGACATGGAGGAATATGCCTGTGACAACAGCACTCAACTCTGAGGCATGAGGGACTAAGAGCTTAAGGCTGGACATATAGTGAGACCCTGTCTCAAAGAGAGAGAGAGAGAAGTTGTGCTTCCTGGAGTTGGTAGGGGCTGAATAAGAGAAAAGTGAGATACTATGGAACTCCTCCACAAGGCACCATTAAAAACCTTTCAGATCTGTGTGGTATCCCAGCACATGGGAAGCAGAGATAAGAAACCACAAGTTCAAGGGCACCCTCAGCTACATAGTTAGAAGCTAGCCTAGGTTACATTAATCGCTGCTTCAAAAAGAAATTCTGAGAAGGACAACCAGTGTCTTCATTTATATACCCAATGCTGAGCCCACCTCGTTCCAACTGATAATTCCAAACTGATGACTACACAGATGGCCCTTGCTAAACTCAGTGGGTCACAAAATAAAACAGAAAGCTGTGGAATTCACCTCAGCAAGCATGCCTTCAGTGTGAGGTCATGTTGAATGCACTGTGGTGGAGAGATCTGATACATGCTCAGCTAACCACACTGCAAGACAGTGTGCATTTAGTTGGACTAAGAATTCTATCTGGAACATTCAGGAAGGCTTCCTGGAGGAAGCTGCCTTTGAGCTAGATCTTAACAGGGGTGGGCAAAAGTCAACTGTGTATTCAGAACCACAGAAGTTACGCTTAAGCCTGTCAGTGGGTTGGGATTGAGAATATGGTCATTTCTCATGGAATGAGAAAGAGGTGTGCAGGAAATGGTAGGTAGACAGGGGAGGTAGGCAGCTGAAAAAGGGTGAGCCTGGTCAGTAAAGTACTACATGTCTGCAAAACTGTTGAAGAACAAATTCAATTTTAAAAAAATTAAAAATTACAAATATTTTTCTAGTTTAAGACAAAACAAAACCGCCCTTAAGTTCCATTGCCCCTGACCTAAGCTCAAACTCTGCTCTACTGGGTTACTGCTACCAGGTGCTAGCCCAGTATGCCGTGTTCCCTCCCTTTACAATTCTGTCAGTCCCCCTGTCTGGTCCACTCAGATACTCCAGTTACCCCCTATTCTGAAGCCTTCCTGAATGCTCCAGACAGGCTTCTCAGTCCATCCTGAGCTGCTGTTCTGATGACACTAAATGCAGACAGTCTTGCAGTGTGGTTGGCTGGGCACGTATCAGATCTCTCCACCACAGTGCATTCAACATGGCCTCACACTGAAGACATTCTTGCTGTGGTGAACTACGCAGCCTTACTTAAATATTAGCAGCCTTTTCAGGTTACTCAGACGTGCCAAAGAATACACAACAGTGATCATTTTGCGGTGCCATTAATTTATTACAAATCTAAATGAAGCCAGGTGGTGGTAGCACACGCCTTTAACCCTAGCTCAGGAAGCAGAGGCAGGCAAATCTCTGAGTGCAAGGCCAGCCTGGTCTACAGAACAAGTTCCAGGACAGCCAGGGCTACACCGAGAAACCCTGTCTTGAAAATCAAACAAATCTAAACAAATACCTATAAAGAAAATGGAATTCGAGGAAGACTAGGAAAGGAAACCTTGCAATTTGGTTATTGATTTGGCATGAGACAACGAGAGTAGTTTACACAGGAGCCTGGTGCCTGGTGCAGAAAACTGCTCTAAGGAGACAAGCAGGCTGCTCCTCGTGGGAGAGCTGAGTACAGACTATTCTCTTCTTGCCTTTTGTCTTGTTTTTAAGGCAGGAACTCACTATGTAGAACAGGCGGGCCTTGAACTTACAGAGATCCACCTGACTCCCAAATGTTAGGATTACAAGAGTACACCACTACATCCGGCCTAAGACTCTTCTCTTTATTCCTTTAAAAATAATAAGCCTGAGTAATTTTCATACCTGGGAATTCCCACCTTTAAGTAAATAAAAAAAAACTACATGGGCAATAAGCCCAGTTCTTTTGTAGCTTAGTTACCCACATAGACCACAGCTGGTTCACTGAAAGCAATTACAAGGAAGTGGATCCAAATAAGGTATATGGTCTAGGGTTAGTCACTTAACTCTGACCTTCAGCCCTCTCACCTGTAAAATGGAGTACAGCATTTATCTCACAGGACCTTGTGAAGATATAACACAAAACCCACATTAGTGCTGGCAGAGAGCAGTTACTGCACACCGTTCCTTCCTCCCCTCTCTGGAGCTCTCTGTCTCTCCCTTCATCTACTTCTGGCACTACTTGGAACTGAACCAGGGCCTTACAAATACTAGGTTCTATCTCCAGACTTTCCTTTTTTTTTTTTAAATTGTGAGACGGGGTCTCACTAAGCTGCCTAGGTAGTCCTTGAACTCTTGACCCTTCTGCCTCAGCTTCTTGTGTAGCTGTCATTGCTATTAGGCTCATCTTCGATGGCTCTTTTCAAAGTTCAAGTAACTTCATGGAGCTCCTGAAGCTCAGATGAGCCTCATGGGTCATATAAGCCAACAGTTTCAATTTAAAAGTAAAGAGTTGGCCAGGCAGCCTTTAATCGCAGCACTTGGGAGGCAGGCAGGTCTGTGAGTTCAAAGCCAGCCTGTTCTACAAAGCTGGTTCCAGGACAGCTAGGGCTATTACACACAGAAACCCTGTCTCAAAAACACAAAACAAAAAATAAATAAATATAGTAGAAAAAAAAAAAAAAAAAAAAAAAAAAACTCTAGCCAGGTGTGGTGGCATTCTATAGTCCCAATTATTTGGGAAGATGAGGCAAGAAGATTGTTTGAACCCAAGAGTTCAGCATTAGCTCAGGAAAAAGAACAAGACTCCTCTCAAACAAAACAAAACCCAAGTCTGCAGGCTTGAGATCTATCCCTGTTGCCTTCCAAAGCTACAGGAAACTCTCTGAGGCCTAGAAATGTCCCTTCCTGGATATCTGTGTCCTGAATCACACCAAGCATGATGACAGCCATTTCAGAATTGGGGCATCTATACCAACACTATAGGTGCAGGTACTTTTGGTGTGAAGCTCTCACTCCATTGCCATCAGTGTTAGCCTTGCCAGCACAGCCAGCTCTGCCCTGGAAACAGCAGTGTGAAGATGGTGACACCCACGTGTACCAGGCTAGTGTTATGCCTGTACAGGTCCCATCCTATCAGGCTCTCAAGACCTTAAAAGGGAAGGATCATTATTAGCCTTATTAGGCATGTAAAGAAGCTATTAATGATTCAATTGCGCCTTTCCAAAACATGCTGGAAAACAGGCTGGTCCAATATGAAAAGCTGGTCAGGTAATGGTGGGTACTGGTAGATCTTGGTGGGGGAGAGAATCTTCTAACCTGGAGTCCTAACCATCTACACCCACAGATGAGACACAATGGTAGCTAAAATTGTCCCTGATTAAGGTTTGCTAGGAGCAGCTGTTGAGAATGAAGCATTCCTTGTTAATAATTGAGAGCACACCTGGCTCTGACATGGGAATAGTTTAGCCCCTGGGGAGATACTGCTGAGTGCTCTATCAGTGGGCATTAGTGCTAGCACCATCAAGAGACCAGGGATGCTAACACTCTCTCTGCAGTGCACACCACAGTCCCTATATCAAGAAATGTTCTGCCCAAAACTCACCAGTGCTAAAATTTGGAAATCCTGACCTGGTATGTGGCAAGGACTCAATAAATACAACCTGTAAAATTATCATTTCTATTATAACAATAAGCCAATTGGAGTTTCTTTATCTCAAGGGTAACCATCATGTATGAATAAAATTATAAGAGCTAAAAATGTGTTACTCACTCTGCTTCTTGTAATACTGGGTAACAGTTGTGTTATTTTGGAGACAGGAAGAGTCAGTTGCTTGACTGATTCTGGGGAACGCAGTAATTTTATTAAATAGATCACATAGCACAGCACCAGAACGGTAGTATAGAAAAGCTGAAACATGAAAATAAAGGGTTGAAATTAAATTGTTTTGATAAAGACATAATTACAACAGGACTATAAATATTATCTCCATGGTAAACAGAACTGTCTTCATTAACTGCACTCCACTCAGGCCCAGCCCCACCGCAACACCTTCGTGCACAGGCTCCAAACACTTCACTTGGTTGGAGAATATAATCATCATGGCAGATGGCCACAAGCTGAAACCCCACAACATCAGGGACCCACCCAGCAAACTGTGGCTCCAGGTGTCCCCACTGTGCTGACAGACAGGCATCTGCCATCATTTAGGACCCAGCTTTCCACAAACTGGAACGGTTGCCACTTATGAGTACAAAGCAGAATTGAGCTATGGATGTCCCCTCCCTGCCTAGAGTATTGGCAGAGTGACAACTGCTTCAAGCTGCAGGAGTAAAAGGTGGCACTGTGAGAAGGTCCACCTCACCCTCACCCATCTGGGACAAAAGAATCGATTCTGGTCAGAAGTGGGCCATCTAGCTTTTGTTTGAAGACTGGAAAGGGTATCCAAAAGGGCCCTCTTTCTGCTTGCCTGCACCAAGGCAACTCCTGTCAAAAGGCATGTGACAGGGAAAATGAGGAGTCATGGTTTGGTAGGCTGTCTCCTTTGAACTCTCCTCTCAATCGTACATAAGGATGAAGCCTGCTGTCCACCAGCCTTCAGACTCAAGCCCTTAAAAGACAAGCAGTGTGGCTTTGAGCCACAGCAGTCAATACCATGTCCTCTGGGATAAGTGTGCTTTCCACCTTTCCTCAATTTCCTGCTGAGCAGAGTTTTGGGGAAGAGTGACAATCTGAAGTCAGGACCCTCCCTACTATCTCCATCAGGAGAAAGTCACATGATAAAACTTACAATTTTAACTACAGGATTCAGTGGCTTGTAGTATACTTACATTGTTGTAAAATCACCACCATCTAATTCCTTAATATTTTCATCAGCTCAAAACAACCTATGGAGCTTTAAGCAAATACTGCTTATTCCCCCACCATTCAGCAAATCTGCTGTGTCTGTGGCCCTGCCAACCATGGACATTATATATCAATGGAGTCATATAACTGACCCGACTGCTTCTTTGACTTACTGTGTTTTCAGGGTTCATCCTCATTGTAGAAAGCATCAATAGTGTATCAGTAGTTGTCTGTCCTCACCACTGACCTCTGGCTGTTGTGGGACTCTGGATTACATGTAGGCCATCATACAAGGCAGTTCCTAGAACTGACTGATACTCCTTTACATGAACACATCAAATTTTGTTTATCCAATTCATTAGTTGGTGGGTGTTTGGAATATGTCTATCTTTTGGCCACTATGAATAATGTTATGAGCATTCTCTTTGGTGTATATATTTAAGAGTAGAAATGCTGGGTCATATGATAGGTCTGTTTAATTTTGGAAGCACCGTCAGACTGCTTTTCATGGAGGCTGCATTATTTTATGTGTAGACCAAAACTGTACTAGTTTCAATTTCTCCACACCTTGCCCATATTTGTTATTCTATACCTAACAAGAAAAATTTCCCACTCTATTAAGCATGAAGTGATACTACACTGTGGTTTTATTATTTATTTGTTTGTTTGTTTGTTTTTACTTAGATTTTTCTCTATGTAGTCCTGGCTGTCCTGGAACTCACAAGGTAGACCAGGTTGGCCTTGAAGTCCCAGAGATACACCTGTTTCTGCCTCCCCAGGGCTGGGTTTAAAGGTCAGGCCAGGCCCTCACTATGGTTTTGATTTGCATTTCTCTAATAATTATTGATTCTAAACATGTTTTCATGTGTTTGATGTCCATTTATTTTATATATTTCTTAGGAAAATGTCTATTAAAATTCTTTACTCAGTTATTAACTGAGTGGCTTATCTTTATTGTAAGGAATGAGTATTCCATATTTATTCTGAGGTGAGTTTTATGGGCAATTTAAGGAAGACCTTGGAGGCTAGTTTGACAAGGGAACTCTCAGTGCCTGGGCAGGGCTCATGTGTTGCTATGAGCTATCACTGGATCACACACATCTGTCAGTGACTGTTCTGTGGAGCTCATAGAAGTCTCATGGTAAGGAAACAAATGCCTTCCGTTCCTTTTGCTCAACTATGACCCTGTCATGGGTAGAAGCTGTGACATCAGAACACAGTGCCCGGTGTCTTTCCCACAATAAAAGCCAATCATATTGGGCATTTCTATCCTACTAGGCCTTCTATCCTACTAGGGAGAATGCATAAAAAAAGGATAATGATGAAAACTATAGTTCTAGGTCTAATAAGATATGGAAAAAATAACCACAGATAATTTCTCTAAACTATGTATCTATTTTCAAATTGGTTTTGTGAGCAATTTTCATTCTTGATTAATTTTAAATCTAATTACTTTGTTTCCATAAAAATAACTGTAGTTTTCAGAGGACATGGGAAAGAATGTCAAATAAATCATTACCAAGCAGCATCTTAATTTGCCTTCTCAAACGCTAATAAAAACTACAAACTAGAAATCCAGACATGGAGCTCATGTCTCTAATCCCAGGAGTTTCAAGGCTCATCTAGGAGTACCTCTATAAATTCAAGGCCAGGCTGGGCCACAGTGTAAAACCCTGTCCAAAACAGAAACCACAAACAAACAAACTAAAACACAAGAAAACCTACAAACTGAAGCCAAGAAAATTGAGAGTTCAAGGTTACACAGCAAGACTAAAAAAAAAAAAAACTAAAAACAAAAACCCAAAAAATCCTACATACTACTACTTCATATGTCTTTTTGATGTCTGCTAAATCTTAGGCTTCATTTTTGTCTGCTTTCATTTCATTTATTTTTATTTATTTAATTAGGTTTTTGAGACAAGATTTCTCTAGGTAATTTTGAACTCTATGCAGGCACTGAGCTCACAGAAATCCAACTGCCTCTGTCTCTTGAATACTGGGATTAATGGTATGCACTACCATGCCCAGTTTTATGCTTCTTCTTTTTTTTTTTTTGTGATTGTTTTTTTTTTTTTTAAAGATTTATTTATTTATTACATGTAGTGTTCTGTCTGCATGTGTGCCTACAGGCCAGAAAAGGGCACCAGATCTCATTACAGCTGGTTGTGAGCCACCTTGTGGTTATTGGGAATTGAACGCAGAACCTGTGGAAGAGCAGCCTGTGCTCCTAACCTCTGAACCATCTCTTTAGCCCTAGATTTCATTTTTAAAAATAGTACTTTCACTTTAGCAATATCTTCATTGCAGCTAGAATTATGGACTATATCTAAAATACAAGATGGAGCCGTAATTGCTTAGACTGAAAACATATTTGCTTGGGCTTAAGTCATTCTCTCTGAATTATGTGAGATTTCAATCTAATTTTAAAACATACTTGGCAGAGCTTCCTCCTATTCTGCAAACAACTGATTGAAATTCAAGGAAAATAATACACATACAATTTAGTTCCCACACCACCCCTTTGCTCCCCTGCCCCTCCTCCGCCATAAGACTAGCAGACAATCAAAGATCAGTTTGATATGATCTGAGAATGTCTGAAAGGACTTTTTGATTCTGGACAATTGGAAAGTATATGACCCTCCCCCGGTCCCTAAGGACACACTAATGGTGCCCTGTGTGAAACAGGATGGATAAAGCATCTGGAGAAGTGTTGGCAAGCCAAAATCCTGGAGTTTCCAAGTATCCCGATAAGCATGAGTATTGTGAACATAAAACACATGCTGGTGGGAACAAGAAGGGAAACAGAAATGTGAATTATGTAAAGAGTAAGGCATGATTCTCACCTGAGCCAGAGAAAAAATGTACAAGCCCCAGTGAGGCAACCACAGCACAAGGGAAGCTGTCAGAGCACTCCGGAGGATGACCGACAGGCTCTCAGCAAGGACCTGCACACAGAGGTAAAGGTGCGAGAGGGTCACAGAGTAAATACGAAAAGGCACAACAAACACAAAATTCAGCATGGTGGTTACCCTGCTACAAGGGATGCGGCATGTTTAGACAGAAGCATCAATAGTAATGCTTTATTTCTTGGGATAGGTGGGTAGTTCATTCATCTTTAGTGTTATGCCTTAAGATATAACACATATATATGCTTCTATGCATGAAATAATGTATTTTAAAAGAGGAAAAGAAACACCACAATCCTAACTATTATCTTCCTTATCACAAAACCTGCTTTTCATTAATGATGAAAAGAGGTAATCCCCACCCGCCTGTGTGTGTGTGACCAATGCATGTATACATGTTTATGTGTGTACAGCAGACATGTGTGGGCGCATGGGGGCCTGTGACGACAGTCAGCTGTCTCCTCTATGACCCTCCACCTTGTTTTGAGACAGGGTCTTTCACTGGACCTGGAGCTCAGTGTTTGGCTAGGCTGGCTGGCCAGCAGGACCCAGGATCCTTCTAGAGGTGTAGTTTATAACATGGGTTCAGGGATAGTAACTCAGGCCCTCATTTCTTGTAGGCAAGCCCTTCACTGACTGAACCTTCTCCCTAGCACCCACTTGTCTTCGAGATAAACTCTTGTAATGTAGCCCAAACTAGCCTTGAATACACCATCCTCCTGCCTCAGCCTATGGAGTACTGGGATTATATGTGTTCACCACGACTCAATTGGCAGGAACGAACTTTAGCATAGCCTACCTGACATTTAAAATAATAAATTTATGTCACCCTTTTCCAATTAGTTCTCTACAATCAAATCTAGAAAAGTCATTCTTTCCTTAAAAAAAAAAAAAAAAAAAAAAAAAAAAAAAAAAAAAAAAAAAAAAAAAAAATAGCACACATCTGGAGGCTGGACAAATGATTCAGCAGTTAAATGTACTAGCTTCTCTTCCAAAGACCTGGGTTCAGTTCCCAGCACCCATACTCACAACTGTCTGGAACTCCAGTTCCAGAAGATCTAAAGCCCTCTTCTGTCCTACAGAAGCACCAGGCACCAGCTAGTACACAAACACACATGCAAGCAAAAATACCCATACATATAGCAAATAAGTAAATACATAAATAAAACATCCTTCCAGGTAATGCTGGCCCACACCTATAACCCAGCCCTTGGAAAGCACAGGCAGGTGGATCTCTATTAGTGCCAGGCCAGCCAGGGCTACATGGTGAGACCCTGTCCCAAAACAAACAATAAGTAATAACAACAAGACCTCCCACTTTCCCTTACTACTCACACTTCCTGTTTACACTGACCTTGAGTTTGACAAACATATGTGCTTGTGCCAAGACCCAAAAAGGCTCTCCCAGAAGTTCCAGCACTGCCGAGAGCCCAAAGAGCACCACTCCAGCTCCATAGTAGGGGACCACATTTGGATCAGGCACTTCGAGCAACCGCAACCAGACCCAGCCCAAGAGTAAGGACCAAAATACACCCAGGGGGACACTAGAAGAATAGAAAAGATGTTTTTTAATTCACAAACTTTTGTCTTAAGTATACAAATACATTAAGATAATAATATTGAATGAAAACAATAGACATCAAAAAAACAATTTCCACAGTAATAAACTGTTATCAGAGAATGCAGACATCACCTACATGCCTGGCACAGTCTTAACCCTTGATCTCACCGACACTTCACAATGATCCTTAGTCATTATCCCCATTTAGGAGGAAACTGAGGCTGAAAGGAACAGGTAATTTGGCCAAGAACAGAGACAGGACCCAATCCTGATCTAACCCAAAGCCTATACTACATCCAATGGTTTAGTTAACAAGGAAATTTTCCAGAAAACAAAACAAAACAAAAAAAAAAAAACTGTTGCCTATGCTTAGAACAGCTGACCAACATTACACAGACAGCTTTTATACTCCAAACTCCAATAGTCCCCAGCATGGTACCCATTACATGTGTGTATCACAGCTTGTCAGTCCTTCCAACAGGCATTTCTGTGAGGCAATAGAGTTATACATTGAGAAACACCTCCACAACCAATGTCCCAGCAGGGATCTAGCTGAAGAAGCCATTTTAATTTTCAGCTGACATACTTGGTCTACAAAAACATTCTAAAGAATTGAAGGAAAGTGTAAAGTAAGCCTTTCCAGACTTTTTAAAAACACTAAGTAGTTGCTAAAAGCTCAAAGGAAACTATAGGGCAAAAAGACTAGGTATAAGAAGAGTGGAGCAGGAAGCCAGGAACCCTGCCCTGAACCCTTCCTTGCTACGGGAGAGGAGATCAAGTAAGCAACATCTCCAACCCAGATGCTCTCTCTTCCTGCTGCTAAACTAGCCCCCAAACCCAATCTGGAGACAGTCAGCCTTAGCAGGTTCTGTCATTTTACTATAACACTTTTGGCATGTGTGTTCTTAAAACTTGTCATTTGCTAAAGGACAACTCACGTTAGCCACAGGAGGTTGAGGGTCTGACTCCAGTCTCGCTGGGCACCCCCACTCAGACAGGCTCTTCGGAAGGCCTCCCTGGCCAGGAAGATGGTCGTTGAGTAAAGCAGTGTTAGTCTACAAAGCAAATGCAGACATGGGTAAGGCCTCCAGGCTTCTTTTTAATTTTTTATTGAAAGAACCTTTGAGAGTCTTCTAGCAACAGGAACAAGAAAATATATTCGTCATAAAAACCACTGGTGAGCCTGGTGGCCCAAACCTGTGACTCCAACTACATGGGAGGCTGAGACTAAAGATAGCAAGTTAAATGCCTGCTTGGCTACAGAATGAGTTCAAGGCCAGCCTGAACAACTTAGTGAGACCCTGTCTCAAAATACAAAGTAAAAAGGAGACTAAAGGTATGGCTCAGTGGTATAGCACTTGCCTAGCATGTACAGAGTACCGAAGAAAAGACAGAACAAACCCTGAAGCTGTGGGTGGGGATGTAGAGAACAATGCATCTTACAAGACTCCCACCAGACCAATCCACATGGAAAACAGAGTTAGGACCCAAACAAGACACACTTGATTGTGTGTGCCTACAGCTACATCTGAGATACACAGCGTTGCAGTGACCTGAGAGCCTGCAGCCTTACGGCTGTGGGCAGAGGTGTAGTCCTGACCATAGGTAGGAAAAGAGCTGCTTACCATCCCACACAGCAAGGGGGGGGGGGGTGATAGGCATGGTAATGTCTGAGAGAAGAGGGGGTTCTACTACAGGGAGGTGACAAAAAAGTTTCAGGAAAAACAGCAAAGCAGGTGGCCATCAGAGGCTGCTGCAACCCCCACTCAACTCGGTAAGATCTGCCTCAGTACCTCGAAGGTGGCCAGCACCTGGGCCAGTCTTCCTGCACCCAACCAGCACTGCAGGTAAGGAGCCAAAGCCACACCTTAAACAGCGAGGAAGAGCAGGCAAAGACTGTCAAGGCAGGCACCTGGCAACCTGGGGGAGAATGCATGGGGAGAAAATCTGAGCCCTCTTTCGATCTGCTTTTTAAATGGTTTCTCAATGATTCTTCTCTCTTCACCACCGCCTCATGAAACTATACAAAGCTCCAGGAGACTCTCTGACAACCCCAAGTTTGAACACCACTGTAAATGTTTAGATGGTAAATACCAGGCATGAAATTCTGTCTTGAACATACTGTCTTGTTTATCAGGATCTGGAGAAACGGCTGAGAAGCTGAGCTATTCTGGGGACATCATTTCACTGGTTTTTGTGTCATTTGTGAAGACAACGTAAGTGTGGGTGTCCTGGAGCAGAGAAGGAAACAAGCTGAGTCTAAGACAAAACAAGTTCCCTTTGCACAGAATCAACCGCGGGGACTCAGGTTCTGGTCCCAGCTACCAGATCTCAACTCTGAAATCACTGAAGTCGAAGCGGAGGAGGTGGGCTGTTTCAGTCCTGCAATTATGAGGCACATCCTCATCAACTACAGAATTCCTGCTTCCTGTGTTGTGTCAGCAGGACAGGAACACTGGATTACACCTGAGACAAGGTTTGCAAGGAATTACTCCCACTCTTCCCCTGTGTTCTGAGAGCAGAAAACAGGAAGAGATGGGGGAGAAATGTACATTTGGAGGCTGCTAATGGAAAACGCTGCATGGGTCCATTAAACACAGCAGGGCCTGCTCATCCTGCACCCTGCACTTCTCTTCAGCCCACTGCTAAAACACTCTGCTACTGGGAAAAGTATACAGTTCTAAATCTAAATCTGAGGGTGGCACATGGGTACAATCTGAAAAAAAAAATTGTGATACATGATGGGAATTGTGGACAGTGCCTGGGTGCATTCCTCTTACCTGACATTCACTATGCCCACAATCTCCTTTGATAGGAAGCGAAGAATAAATGCATTCAAGACAAAGGTGATCAGTCGGAACAACACCTGTAAGAAAATGCATTAGTTACGTTGGCGTGTTGACTACTGAAATGAGGACCGGGTAGCTGTCCTTCCCAATGTGATATGACAACACACAGCAGCTCTGCTATGGAGACTGGGCTCTAAGATGCTCACGTACCTCACTTGCTTTCTGTGAATTTCCCTAGAGCAGTGGGCAAAGAACCCGGAAGGTATGGAACTCTCCCTTACTTACTAATAAGAGAAGCCTGGGCTTCTGGTTCTAAGTCAAGGAGATAGAGAGAGAACTGCTATGATGGTTCACATTATCCAGGGCCCTAGCTAAAACCTTCTCCAGACATATCTAACCTATAGCCAATGGGCCCCTTGAGTCCCAAGATAGCTTTGGATTCAGCCCAACACGTCTTTGCATGACAATGTCAAAAAGACAGACTCCCAAATCCTATTCAGAAACTGAACACCCTGAAACAAGAGCCTGCAGAGTACAGCAGGCTCACTAGGAATCTGGGGGCCAATTTCTGTCTCCTCTGCCTGGCAATATCTAGGGCTTCCAAAGACATTTAATGTCTTTGAAATTTGGTTTTCTTAGTTACACAGGAGACATTACGTTTATTGAATACTTGCCCCTTTCCAGAGAGGAGTTGATGCATCTTTTAAATAACAGTTGTAGTAATACGATAATGTAAAATGGGAGTGGGAAAACAGAGTGCAGCTATAATCATTTAACAGGGACACATCCTAAGACTTTCAAATCTGTCCATTAAAGAAAACCACCTAAAAGCAGTGGTGGTTCATGCCTTTCATCTCAGAGTTCAAGGCCAGCCTGGTCTACAGAGTGAGTTCCAGGGCAGCCAGGGCTACACAGAGAAACCCTGTTCTGAAAAGCAAAGAAAGAAGGACAAGAATGGAGAGAGAGAGAGAGAGAGAGAGAGAGAAAGAGAGAGAGAGAGAGAGAGAGAGAGAGAGAGAGAGGAAGAAAGTCACCTAAACAAAAAGCCCTTCCAGTGAGACATAGAAAAACAAGAAGCTACAATGGGGCTCTCAAATGGAGCTGCTGAATAGGATGCTTGCAAATCTAACTCAAGTCCTCTCCTCATCCCAGCTACAAATGACAAATCACTTCAGTGCTAAGCAAGCTCAAGGTTACTGTTATACACAGCTGCCATTCTGGCAGATTCAATCACTGTAGACTAGAGGACTATTATGGTCTGAAAATCTCTGGGCCATTAATGCTACTCATTAAGTGACAGCAGCACCAAAATTATCACCATGTTTATGGAGTCACAGATGATCTTTTCTGTCTGACAGAAGCTCTGTAGCTTCTTAGGAACATGTAAGTCCACATACACAAACCAAATTCTGAACTCAGTGCTGGTGGCTGAGTCGCAACCCATCACTTAGCTCTTAAATGCAAACATGCATCATCTTCTGATTTTTACAAGTCTCAATTTTCTCTGTCAAATGAAGCTAAATATCTCATAAGGTTGATTACAAGACTAATACGATTATAGAAGTGAAACCATTTTTAATGTATAAATTAAAAGCAATCAAAACGTACATTGTGACTAGCTCAGAATTAAGACTCACAAATTACATAATAAAATGTAGCTGCAATGCTACCATAAGTTTCAGCATTATAACTTAAAAAAGCATATACAACTGAACTAAAACAATCAAGGAATCTATATTTTATGACTATTCTAAGAATCCATATGTACAATTATAAAGTCCATCATTTTGTACAATAATATGTGCTTGTTACAAACTGTACATTTAAAAAGTTATTATTGTAAGATCTTAGGTCATATCAATATCTTCTGATATGATCTGAATAAAAGTTTGGTCTAATAAAGTCAAACAAAGCTAATAAAGGTTTTAAGGCCACCCAGTGGCCCTTATTAGCAACATAACCTCTATTTACTTTCATAAAGGACTTTACATTTATAAAAGCTTTTAATTTGTTAATTATTTGACCTTTAAAAACAACCTAGCAGGCTAGTCATGGTGGCACAAACCTTTAATCCCTGCATTTACAAGGCGGAACCAGGCCAACCTCTTTTGAGTTTCAGACCTAGAGAATTCTAGTCCAACCAGGGCTAAAGAGTGAAACCCTTTCTCAAAAGCAAAACAACAAAAGCCAACCAGACTGAGAATACAGCTCAGTGATAAAGCACTTGCTTAGAGCCTGTGGGGCTCTAGGTTCAACTCCCAACACCAAACAGCAACCAGGCAAATGTGCCAGAAACAAAACTCATAAGGAAAGGGCCTGCCTAATATCAAACAGCAAACAAATGATCCAGTTTAAGTCTACATTAGGTCATTTGACTCCTACTCTTTCGGGTCTCCTATGACCAGTTTCTTTCTCTGTGGAAAAGTGACTATGTATAATACACTGAAGTCACATATACTGTGAAATAGGAAAACAAAACGCTAGAGAGATGGGAGTTAAACCGAGTGGCTGGCATTGACTAAGCGCATACTGTGTGCAAAGTGCTTTTCTCTATCCTTATTTCATCCCCACACTGTCACTTACAAACCTATGACACTAAGAAAGCAGCTTACACTGATGAGCACGTTATATCGGGACAGAACAGGATTTCACCTAATCTTCCTAATGACCCTGTGAGGCTATATTTCTGTTGTCACCCAAAATGGTGGTGCATGCCTGTTACTCCAGCACTTTGTAAAGGGAAGCAAGAATTCAAGACCAGCCTGGGTTACATAGCAATGCCTGTTCTTAAAAATATAAAGTTAAAAAGCCAGGAGTGGGTCGAGAGAGATGGCTCCGTGTAAAGAGTACTGACTGCTCTTCCAGAAGACCCAGGTTCAATTCCTAGCACCCACATGGCAGCTCACAACTGTCTGTAATTTCAATTCCAGGGGACCCAACAAATGCGCACATAAAATAAATATTTTTTTTAAAAGCCAGGAGTGATGACACATGCCTATAAACCCACCACTTGGGAGGCAGAGCAGATCTCTGAGTTCAAGGTCAGCCTGGTTCACACAGTGAGGTCCAGAACAGTCAGGGAGGCATAGTGAGCCTGTCTCAAAAAACAAAAACAAAAGGGGGAGGGGGGGAGGAAACTGATGCTCAGAAAAGCCAAGCAATTGTATTTTATTTTAATTTAACTTCAAGACAGAGTCTCACCATATAGCCCTAGCTGGGCTGAAGCCAGCTGGCCTTGAACAGTGAACCACTTGCCTCTACCTCCTGAGTGCTGGAATTAACACCTAACACAAGTTATTTTAAAAGTAGTCACCTAACCTGAATCTAACTGAGCGTGTCACCTAACCTCCTTGTGCCTAAGATAATGGTGAGGGAAGAGTTTAACTTCTGTGCAGTTGGGTTAAGCTGGAGAATATGGCATCAAGAAAAATGAGAAACTTGACTTAGAACTGACTTTTAGGGCAGAAAGAATCTTTAGATACTATTTGGGTAAATGGTTCTCAATCTTCCGAATGCAGCAAGCAACCCTTTAATACAGTTCCTCATGCTGTGGTGACCCTCTCCAACTGTAAAATTATTTTCGTTCCTACTTCATAACTGTAATCTTGCTACTGTTACAAATCATAATGTAAATATTTTTTGGAGACAGAGGTTTGTCAAAGGGTTCGAGATCCATAAGTTGAGAATGGCTCATAAGGATGAACTGGCAAGTGTCATCTAGTTAAAAAAAAAAAAAAAAAAGTTCAAAATGGCCTATCCAAGGACACACAGAAGATGGAGTTTATTAAATGCATTCTAGATACAGGTACTGTGGCAAGTGTGCTTAATTCAAATGATCCCAAACAACACTTGCAAACTGCTTTCTGAATTAGACAGATACTATTACCCTCATTCTATCGACAAGTAGCTAAGGCTCTGGGATCGAAGTGATTTGTCCTGGGTCATGCAGCAAGTACTGCCTGAACCGTAATCCCGGTCCTTAGCTCTGCCATATGGTCTCTAAATGCAATGCGAACCAGAGTTGAAGAGAGGTGTTTGATAACCAACGGTGGAACACACAAGAAACGATTCTTGAGCACTAAGTAGCCTCTGCCTCTGCCACTTGATTAGAATGCCTCCTACTGCAACACGGAAATGCTATCTTCAGAAAGCAAACGCCATGTTTGTAGTCACTCAGCCAAGACTCCGACCTCATCTCCCAACTCCTAGACCCGGCGCCCCTCCCCGCCGCCGCGGTCTCCTATGGAACCTCCGGAAGCGCGGGGAACCCAGGGCAGCATCCCCGCGAGGCTTGGCAGCGGTCCCGCGCACTGGAGCAGGCGCAGCGGAGTACCTGCAGCAGGAGACCCGAGGAGGCCAGTCGGGCAGCCTGGCCCAGCACCTCCTGGCTGCTACCCATGGCCCCAGTGCCGCGGCTCGGAGGAGGAAACACGGCGTGCGCCCGCTCCGGCGCGAAACGATGGCGTCACGAGCACGTTCTCTCCTGATTGGGAGCTATGACTGGGGGCGGGGCACGGGAAGCTGCGTGTCCAAACAACCTGTGAGACTGCCTCATAGTCTGTTCGTGGTTTTGTTTTTGTTTTTGTTTTTGTTTTCTTCATTTTATTTTTTGTGTGGTTATTGTTGTTTTGAGAGTGTGTTTAACTTCGGAGCCTGTAGTCCATGTTTGCCTAGAACTTGCAGCGGGAACGCTGGGATTACTGGGGTGCACCCCCAGGCCCAGATGTTGTCTTTTGGCTTGTGTGTTGGTTTGATTTGATTTTTCTTTTCTTTTTTCTCATTATGTAGTTCTAAGTAGCCTGCAACTCGACATGTAGACCAGGCTTGCCTAGAACTCAGTGATCTACCTGCCTCTGGCTCCCAAGTACAGGGATTCCCACTGTTAATTTTGAAATAAGGTCTTGCTGTGTAGCCAGGACTGGCCTGGAATTCACTTACAGAGTCTGGGAAGGCCTTGAACTCCTGATCAGGTGATGGCATTACAGGAATAGACCACTGAACAAGCTGGCATCTTCTTTGTTGTGTTATTTATTTTTATGTGGTGTAAGATGTGTGTATCAGAGAACAACTCTCAGGAGTCAGTTTTATCCACCTTTGCATGGGTTCTGGGATCAAACTCAGATTGGCAAGTTTACATTGGCAGGCACTTAACCTGCTGAGCCGATTTGCTAGCCTGTTTAGTTCTTCCATGTCCCATTTCCTAGTACTAGGGATTGAACCTAGGGCTTCATTCTTGCAAGGCAAGTGCTCTACCACAGAGACCACAGCCTTCTTGTTACTTTTTTTTTTAATAGAAGCTGTTTCCTTTTATGAATGTGTCTTTCTTGCAAATAAATCAGATACTGCAGCCAGTCTTGGAAGATGTCGTCATAGGCTGAAAGTGCTTACCTAACATGCACGAAACTCTAGGTTCAGTCCCAGCACCACATAATCCCACCCCGGTGGTGCGTACCTGAAATCCAACACACAGTGAGTGAAGGCTGAAGGATCAAAAGTTCAGGGTTATCCTTAGCCAACCTAGGCTACAGAAGACCCTGTCTCAAAACAAAGCAAAGAAAAACAAACGGTGTCAGGAAGAAAGCTCTCAGAAGGGATTCATTAGTCAGATTCTGGCCATTGGCTCTCACACAAATATATTCATAGCACCCTTGCCCAGGTTAGGCTAGACAGGACTTCTCCCAATTTTGCAGAGGAAGAACTGAGGGCTAAAAGACACAGGATTTTCATGTGTGTAATTTTGTAGAAACCTTTCCAAAGTTCTGATACTTGGGCCCAGTTGTAAGGAGGAAAGCAAACCTTGGAGGTATAAAGTGCCTTGTTCAATTCTGTACAGTGTAGGCCCAGGCAGGATGGATCAAAGAGCAAACTAGAAAGAAGTACTTCACACATTTTTTACAAAGTCCCCAACATACCAGATCATTAAGCCTTCCTTGATCTCAACTAACTTCTTTCCACCTTTCCCATCATCACTGCCTTTAGCAATACATTCTAGGCCCCTCCCCCCAATTTGGAGCCCTTAATCACAACATTTCAGGAGGCAACTTTAACTTTGTGAGTTTGAGGCTAGCTGGGTCTACATAGCAAGTTCCAGACCAGCCAGGATGGCATCTCCTCAAAATTCATATAATGACAGACCTGAATGTGGTAGCGTTAGGAGGATACTTGGGAAGTAATTAGGTTATCATTATGTGACCTTTATGGTGGAATCAGTGGCCATATAAAGAAGGTATTTGAGGGATGGGGATATAGCTTAGAGATACAGTGCTTGCCTATCATGTGCAAACATATGGTTTGACCCTCAGCACCTAAAAACAAAACAAAACAAACAACAACACACATTGGAAGAGATGATTTCATTGTGAGAGGATACAGCAAGAAGGTGGCATCTACAAACCAGGAAGAGTCCCCTCACCAAAACCAAACTGGCTGGCACCCTGATCTTGAACATATAGGCTCCGGGATTGGAGAAATACATTTCTGTTGTTTAAGCATCCCAGTCTATGGTATTTTGTTACATCAGCCCAAGCTGACCATGATAGTGCCTTAAAGGACTTTGTACTCTCGTATAGATCTTTGTATAGTCTATTTTACAATGAAAAGATGAGAATGTGTGTCTCAATCTAACTAGCCTGTGAGCTTCAAGCAGGCAGGAGTCAGCCCAGCAGGATTTGCCTTCTACAGTAGTGACAGAGAACATTCCTAAATGCTCATAAATGCCTCCTGGCACATCATTGTTGCTACCGCAGCCAAACTTCATGGCTCAGGGCCCCTGTGTCTTCATCATCTCAGCTGAACTGCTCTGTTGAGTGTTGAGAGTCTGAACATGAGGTTTTGACCATCAGACAGACTTATCCTTGAATCCTCATTCTGCCACTCACTATCTGGGTGGCACTCTATGAGATGATTGTTTTAAACGAGATTTTAGAATTAGGTTTATAGCTCAACAGTATAGTGACTGCCCAGCACGTGCAAATGCCTGGATTTAAGCCCTGTATCTATGATATTGATGTGGGTATGGATATAGACATTAATATAGATAGAAATCATATGTTCTATTAAGGTAGGTGTAAGAATTTTAGCAGACAAGTTTGGCCCACAAGGAGCTGAAATTATCCTGGGAGACCAAAAAAAGAAAGAAAGAAAGAAAAAATCTGGAGAAAAAAGTCATAAAATCCAAATAGGAATTAATCAGAAAAGAGTAAAACAGAATGCTTGAGAATTTGAGATTGCAAACGGTGGTCACTAACAGACCTGTCTCCTCAGGTTTCCTCCCTACCACTCACTTGCTTCTGTGCCAGGTGACCTCCCTGTCAGGGAAATCTGATCCCAGCCTCCAATTTCATTACTAAACTGGTGGGAGGTGCCAGGGCTGGTGCTAAGCCAGTTAGGCTTCCAGGGCAATGGGGCAGTGGGTGGAGGCTGCCAGTGGGTGGAGGGCAGAGTAAAGGCTATGGTAAGCCAAGCCCTGGACCTCAGCTGAATGTAGGCACCAGGGCTAGGCATGTCCCCACATAACAGCCACTAGATGGCATGGCTTGCTGGGCAAGAGCCCCCTAACCAAAGGCTTCCTGCTGTCTAGAAAACCTTCAAAAGGGCTCCTCCTTGAAATAGATCAGCACTCTGCTCCTCACTTGAAAGTTCCAGTGCATGAGAAGGCTGCTGTGCTCATTACAGTTCACATTGTCTAGTCTACAAAGCAGTGTGCTGGGTTCTTTACTTTCATGAGCACACTGAGCTCTTCTAGCAGCCCAACAAGACCATTGTCCCCTCTCTTTTACAGACAAGGACACAGGCGTAACAAAAGTAAGGGACTTGTTTGAGGAGTTGATTGGAAATGCCAGAATGGGAACTGGGCAGTGTGGTTGTCAGTGCCATAATCAAGATTACACCAGAGAATTGACTGTTGTCACCTCTGAGCCCTAGGCTATGCCTCAGCAGCTATGATTCAGGAAGAGTTCTGGAATCTGCATTGCTTTTTGTGATATCTGTTTGTTTGTTCTGCCTTTAGCACAGAGTCTTACTCTGTAGCCCAGGCTGGCCTGGAACTTACTACATTACTTACTGCACAAAACTCTGGGAAGTACTACCTGAGGGTGGATCTTTAGCCACCTTGAGGAATCCCTGTGCTTCAGTGGGCTGAAGAATCTGTCATATGTCTGCCCAGAGTAGATAAAGCGAGATCTGAGATCTGTCCTGGGCTTGTTCAACCTTCCAATAGGCCATGCTCCCAGGTAGTCAGAACAATAGCACCTACAGACAGTGCTTAAATAAGAGTCTTGGAGAACATCTGTGCTAGAAATTATGCACACATGATGGGAGATGTCATTCTGTATATATGTTTCTCATACTGGTTTAATGAATAAAGCACTGTTGGCCAATAGGAAAGCAAGATAGGAGGGATTAGGAGAAGGAGGAAAGAGGAAGTAGTAAGGAGGGTCAGCATGGAGAGACCGGGGAGACCAGACGCCTGCCCCACTCCCCGATAGGTGAAACCACGTGGAAATACATAGAAATGGGTTAATAATTAAGACAGAGCTAGCCGATAAGAAACAAGAAACAGGCCAACAGAATTATATCAAATACAGAGTCTCTGTTATTTGGGGCTGGCGCGGCGGTGGGACAAGACTAGGCGGCGGGCAGAAAAAACCATACTCCTTACACACACAACAGTCCCTGAACCCCAGGTCTTCTAGGAGTGGTATGAGAAGCTTGGAAGGCAGCCACAAGACCCTGGTTTTGCCTGGCTTCTCTGAGCATTGATTTGTGCAGAGTAGCCTGCAACACCCACAACATTAGTATGGCACTTTCCAGATTCGGTGCTCTGAGCTGGGCACTGGAAAGGGCACAAGAGTGAATGAGCCACAATTAATACCTTCTTAGGGCTCAGGGGTCTCTCTTGGGAAAAACTCAGAATGGGAGCAGGGAGACTGAAGTGCTTAAAAGTTGCAAGAGAAACAAACATAGGGATGGGAGTGGGCGGAGAGATGTTTCTGGCTGAAGCATAAAGGAATATTCCTTTCAGGAGATGCTTTTGAAGGATAAGAGAGACTGATCAAACGGAGGGACATGTGGGGCAGTGAAGCCCAGAGGAGGGTACTTGCTGAGCCTGTGCGTGGATGCAGAAGTTGGCCGCTGCAACCCTTGGTGCAGAATTCTTGTACCCACCAGCCTGTGGCCAGTGTTGAGCTGGTAGCCATGAGAGCATCAAGTCCTTGGGTGTGAACACAGGCACGTGAATGAATACAAATTAAGGGCATATTGGTGCACATTAGTAATCTCAGCGGTCAGCATGATAAAACAAGAGGGTTTTCTGTGTTTGAGGCAGCCTGAGCCTTATAATGAGACCCTGTCTCAAAAAACAAAATCAGGGCTGAAAAGATGGTTCAGTGATTAAGAGCACTTGCTGGTCTCACAAACAA